GAATCGGAATCGGGCAGTGTTGTCAACCCTAGCAGAATTTATGTTTGAGAGTGAAGTAACAGGAGCTTTTAATGTTTTAGAATAATAAACACAAGATAAATCTCAAATATTTTGTTTTTTATCATAATATATCAGAAACAAAATTTCTCATTTATATTTATATAACTTCATGTTACCTTTAAAATATGCAGTGCATGCCGACTAACCGATTATGAATTGCAACAACGCTAGACGATTCCGAATTCTGATTTCGTATCCATAGTTCGTATCGGCTGCCACCCGCAAAACCCGAATCGGCTCTGTCATAACAGAACTTGCAGCATTCGATTCGTGTATTACGATTTTGTTTCTGTTCTTTTTGATACCGAATTCGTATTCGAATTTACACTATTGATTCCGGAATATCCGGATCCTTTTAATATTCGGATTCAACGGATTTTTGGATACGTATTCTTACATCACTAATATAGGGTCCTATGATTGAACGTTTACGTTATCCGTAACGTACATGTTAGGCTCAGTTTTAACAGTAATTAGGCAAGTTCGTATGATGAAAAACGCTTTCCAACACATTACTGTTATTTTCCGCCTGTTATGTTCTAATTTAACAGTTTTCCATCATACAAACTTGCTTCGTTACTGTTAAAATTCGACCTAACATGTACGTTATGGATAACATAAACGTTCAATCATAGGACCCATAATCTCAAAATCAGACATTTTCAACGGTATGTATATTAATTATTTGTCCGATATTAATGTAAAATACATATTGACAAGATTATTAAAATAGTTGTATGTCGGACGCTACTATTTTCCCGATCGGGTGCTTTCGGTTATTTTTACTGCTAAAAACTTAGTGCTAACTTCACACCGGTGGTAATAGCTACCAAGTAATTACCTATTCTCACTATATACAGGGTGTTCCATCTCAGACGAGCCTCCCCGTATAGTTCTCATCCCATAGTAATTGAAAAAAATTCCCGAAACACGTCTGATGATTTTCTTTGGGGGACATTTGACGCATATGTGAGGCTTGAACGAGCAACCCCCTATAAGGGGCGCTTCAATCCCTCAAAATTGAATAGGGAAGAGGGGTTGGGTGATACTTCATTTGTAAGGTCCTGAAAGCCTCTTTACAACGGTGTATGAAAAAATCACATTCTTAAAAAAATCAATTGTTTTATCATGCTTACAATCAAAAAAATCAAAACTGCGTTTTTAAATGAAATGTTCAATTTGTCTTCCATTGACTTCCATGCAATAATAAATTCTCTCGAACTAATAAATAAAAAAATCAAAACATTTTCTTATCTTGCCTTCATTTTTTGCTCTTAGAAGGTTTATCACGTTTCTTCGATCATTTGATGTGATAAAACAATTAATTTTTTTTAAGAATGTGATTTTTTTCATACACCGTTGTAAAGAGGCTTTCAAGACCTTACAAATGATGTATCACTCAACCCTTCTTCCCTATTATTCCATTTTGAGGGGTTGAAAGCTCCCCCTCATAGGGGGTTGCTGGTTCAAGCCTCAAATATACGTCAAAAGATGTCCCCCAAAGAAAATCATCCGACGTGTTTCGAGAAATTTTTCCAATTACTATGGGGTGGCTCGTCTGAGATGGAACACACTGTATAGTTGTGATCCGACAAAATTAAATACTAGTCCATAAATACTGCAAAACGATTGGTTAAGGAAATCATTCGAAAAAGATGTAAGAATATTCTTGATTCAATAAAAGTATAAATACATAAACAACACTAAAAAACATTTAAAAACAAATGTTCGATTTTGAGATTTTATCTAAATTTCTCAAAAATATATTGGATGGAAGATGGCCTTAATTCGTAAAATGCAATACTGGTGCCATCTATCAACAGATAGTCACACTATCGAGTTGCACATATTACTTGTAGATGCCGAAACTTGATTTTAAATTAACCACTTTTCTCTCACGCTCATGGAGAAACGATTATTACTCACGTTCAGGCCTCGCAACGAAATGGAGACAGGCGTAACAAAAAAGCTACAAAAAAGTTACAAAAAATGAGCCTGGTCCGAGCTGGTGCCGCTACAAATATCCGCTAAGCTAGCGGATCCGCGCTTTTCTCAGGTTCAGTACAAGCTACAAAAGGGAGACTAGCGTAACAAAAAAGCTACAAAAAAGTTACGAAAAACCAGCTGGGTCTGAATCTGTGCCGCTACTATGGAATTTATGGAAATTCAAGCTAGCGGATCCGCTGTTTTTTCGGACCTGGGCAAAGCTACAAATTCGCAAATAGCGTAACAAAAAACCCGCCAGGTCTTGAATGGTGCCGCCACAGAGTGCCCGCTAGCTTGATAGAGCCAAAAATTACTACGAGTCGAGAATCGACCCCCTGGGCTTTAAAAACGGAACACGCCCCTCGTGTCGACGACAGTCGACAATTGACAATGGAAATCGCCGTCGGTCGATTTTAGCATGGAGGAAGGATTATTAAGAGTTGCCGTTTCTTTGTAGAAATTTGGCAACATGTTTGATTGCAACGACCTGTGGGGTGGAGGAGTAGAACTAATCTTACTCTGTCGGTAATGTAGTTACCAGCAGTATTACCATCAACTCTTACTCTGTCGGTAATGCAGTTACCCGTAATTTTATATTTAATTTGAAAATTGGCGGGTTTTTTTAAAGGAGAATTTACTTTTGCAATTATTTTCTAACTAATACGAAATATAGCCATACAAAATTTTGATAGTAATTTTTTTAATTTTTTAGTGAAATAAAAAACATGTACGTGTAGCTAAAATATGTTCCTCTTTCAAAATTTAATCAAAATCGCAAAATTTTGTTTTTATAAAGATTTCAAAAATTGAGAAAATAATTAAATAAAATTTCGGAATAGTGGCTCCAGAAAAACAGATATTTCACTTTTACCTGAAGGTATATATTTTTCATTCACTAAAAAGTAAAATTAAACTATAGAAATATTTGTGGCTCTATTTCGTATTGTTTAGAAAACGATAATTGCTTAAGTAAATTTTCCTCTTAATTATAATTAAAATTTTCCTTTTTTATTAGCTATTTGTAACAATTATGAAATGCCCAATAAAAATGTAAAATTCTATGACAAATAATTATGAGGGATAAAATAAATATCATACAAAGTTTTATATAATTATATTTACTAAAAATTCCCAAGAAAAATAAATAAAAAATATATCAAAGAGATGGCAATACAAAAAAAATTTTTCATGCACTTCACCCCCATAAAAGCGAGCTTATGCGGAGCAAGAATGTCTATTATTATTATTATTTACTATGGCGCTCCCGGACGTCTTATAAATGATTCTTTAAGAAAGTTACTCTAATATCACAAACATTACATTACTATTTCGGTACGTTAACAATCTCTGGCTAACAAAAATCAGAAATTGCATAACAAATAATTAATTTACTTGATATGAAAACTAATGCCTAAGTAAATAAATTTTTAAAATAAACAAAAAACAAAACAACAAATTCTTCTTGAATCTTAGGAAATCAGACAAAAGCAACCATCCATATTAACTGAAACAGAAAAAAATTAAATGCAGTAGCTTCAAATAATTTTGTTTGACTTTTAGACATTGCATTATAATACTTTCTTATTATTAATAGTAGACAAGTTTCAACGAAATGAGAAAAGACGTCTGTTTTATGTTCTTTATATGTAAACCAGAGACGGCTTGTGGCCTAGTCTGTGAGGAAGCTGGCTTATCCTATATACTTTATACAAATATATATTTCTATTAGAATACAATGTAATATTTCTGCTTTTTGAATTCTTAATAGACATATAATTTTATTAAGTACATAGGGTGTGCCTTTTAAAAGTAGTCTCCTCATAGACTAGGCCACGAGTCGCCTCTGATGTAAACCATTTAAAATCAACATGATCTGGCAAAAAAGTTTAATTTTTTGAATTGTTGTCAATATGACCCAAAAGTTGTGAAACTATTTCAAGAATTTTTGAAAGAAATTCAATAACATTTCTTTGTACATAAATAAAATCTTTAAAATAAGTAAAAGTATCGATGGTCTTCTAACATGTCTGTAAATTAACTTTACACTCTTTGCAGTCAAAACTATTAAGTTTCTTAATAAACCCTGCAACATAACTAGTGGCTAGACTCAAATTCTGCTTCATTTATTAATTTTGTATATATTATTAGAATGAACTTTATCCTCACAGGACTCTGTTTAGAGGTGTGATAACAATATTACTAAGTACTACTATCTTTGATGTATCTGGTTTTGAGGATGCTAAAGCAAGGTAAAGCAAATCTTTCAGCAGTCTTGAACGATTTGTGTTTGTAAACAATTTTGTATTAAAATATGATTTTCACATAATGTATAATGATTGGGGTTGTAAGTGGAATGTTTAAAATACGACACCATTCCGTTCTTTGATCAATATCAGAAGGAAATTTAAAAATGTTCTTAAAATTTACGTTTGGAATGGACCTTATAAAATGTACTATAACAATTAGAAATTATGCGTTTATAATGAATTCTGCCTGGTAAAGACATGTTAAAGCATCAAAATACCTTTAAATAATCCTAAATAACATATCTAAAAAAATAAAAGTAGTTCCACTCACATGTTTTTGTCGACAACCAAAAACCAAATCATAACATAACCACACATTTGTTTGATTTTGATGTTATTTGTTGACAGCGCGCGCGGGGCCCGCTATAGCGGGCAGCCAGCAGTCATGCAGCGGACAGAAAGCCATCTTCACATAGTACAAATAACTAAGTGAAGGTATGTTTTTTTTAGTTTGTTGTAATATATGAATTAAAATTTTTGAAACAACACTTTTTGTGTGTTACTGAACGAGATGTTATTAAATTAATCAATGTGCTTTACATTTTAATACAATTTTGCTATTGTAAAACGGACTTCAGAGCACCCAAGCGCGGAGGAGTATGCGCAGAAACGTGTTTACGTATTGTGCATATGATATAAACCCCCGTGGATTTTAGGTTATGGTTATTATAGATAGGTCGGTATCAAAAATAAACTGCTAGCTCTTTTTATTAGTTTTGAAAATAAAAACTATTTTCGTAATTTTTATATCTTATCAATAGTACAAATGACTGAAATTAACGATTTAGAACAAGCCTTAGTACTAGCAGCTGCTGATGCAGATTCTAGGAATTACGAAGGTTCTTTTGAAGAGTCTGAGGAAACCAACGTATTATGCAAGGAGCCTGCATTTTATAAAAACGTTAATGAAGTTAAGAACATAGTTATCGAAAAACCAGCGACAATAAATAATAGGCCACAAGAAAATGCACCATTAAAGAGAAAGCGCGAAACTGTTGAGGAAAATATTGAGGCAAAGTCAACCAAAACTTATGCAAACGTTGTTGCGAATCACTACAATCAGATAGAGGAAAAAGGTTTAGATGAGAGGTGCAAATCGCGCATTGTACACTTAAGGAACTTCCACAATTGGATAAAAAGTATGCTCATTAATGAATATTTGACAAAAATTAAGTATTCAAAAAAACAACACAACGCTCCTATAAGAGTGCACGATATGTGCTGTGGAAAAGGTGGAGACTTACTAAAATGGAAAAAAGGAGGTATAACCCATCTCATTTGTAGTGATATAGCTTCAGTGTCCCTCGAACAGTGTAAGGCACGGTATAAGGATATGAAGAATCGTTCTGGAAGAGATAGGGGACCTCCATTATATACAATAGAATTCATAGCAGGTGATTGTGGTAGAATGAGGCTACGTGAAAAGTATTCAGACCCATCAATGAAATTAGATCTAGTAAGCTGTCAGTTTGCATTTCATTACAGTTTTGAAAGTCTACCTCAAGCTGAATGCATGTTCAGGAATGCAGCAGAATGTCTACAACCTGGTGGATATTTCATTGGCACCATGCCTGATGCTTATGATCTGGTAGCACGTGCCAAAAGAAATGATAGCAACTCTTTTGGAAACAATGTCTTTCAAGTTTCTATAGATTTTGATATTAATAAACCACCTTTATTTGGCAGTAAATATAATTTTCATTTAGATGGGGTTGTCGATTGCCCTGAATTTTTGGTGTATTTTCCAATGTTTGTTAAGTTGGCCAAAAAATTTGGGTTGAAGTTGGTTAAAGCTGAAAAATTTTATGATTATTTTGAGAAGATGAGGGAGGAAGGTAGACATTTATTAAATAATATGAGAAGTCTTGAAGCTTACCCACCTCCAGAAAATAGTACTTTGGTTGGAACTGAACCTGATGATTATAATCATGCTGTTGAATTTATTAGAAAAGATCCCAGAGGCAACATTAGGATAGGAACGCTATCTAAGTCAGAATGGGAGGCTTCATGTAAGGATCTTTTTTTTGTTATACCCAAAAAGTTTTTTAATATAAATGGGAAAGTTTTATCTTACATTTCACAAAAAAAAGTACATATTCTTGATAAAAAGTTCTGCATCACTTAGGAATCCATAATCAAGTATTAAACTTTGTAAAATATGGGAGGGTATACAGTGAATATAAAAATAATGATTTATGATGAAAAGTAAAAAAACTTTCATATTTCAATATAAATAGGCTAACCATATTTCTTAAATAAACATTAATTGTAATAAAATAAATAATAATAACAGTGTAAGCTAACAAAACTGCCTTTATTCTGCAAGCAAACATAATTACAAAATTAAACTTTATCTTAAATCGCCAAAACCTAATACAAAATATAGTTTTTGTATTGCACTGGTTTATCTGTGTAGTGTCATGTATATTTGTCTGAAGAATGAATTTTTCTTAAGTTGTTTTTAATTTTATCATAAAATTCTGTGCATGTCATGTTCAGGTTAATTTTGCATCTTAACAAGGCTCTGACAGTACTTTCATTCAAACGCCCTCAATCATCTGACTATATGTGTTTCATCATGGAGAAGATCCTTTCAACAGAAGTGGATGTCCCAGGTTGACAAAAGATGAATTCTATTAATTTTGACAAATTTGGAATTTGCTTTTTGTTCATTTTTAAAATGCTGGAAAACCTGAATTCACTTTTCTTCAAAATTTATTGCATTCCACTCATCTTATTGAGAAGAATGTCTTTGCCAGGCTCAGTTCAGCCCACTTAACACCTTAACGACCGCTGTCGTAAAGCCAAATATGGCCCCACGGACCGGCAACTTTTTATTTGAAATATTAGAAACTTAATAAAACATTGTTTCATGATATTTGCAAAAATTTTTTCTTTAATTCCAAATATTGTTTTTGGGCGTGCAATATCTGGATAACACGCGGTCCGAGCGCTTGATTTCAAATACTGGGACCGCGTGCTAACTGCAGATAACTCATTATCTTAGCACAATATCACACTCGCCAAATAGGAAAGATCAAGAACAAACGGGCAAATGAAGTAGAAAGTCATCATTGACTATATTAAATTTAAAGCCTACATTGGCATGTCACATTAAATGAAAGCCTACCAAAATCAGGTTTGGGTCAGCAATGGTAAATTCTTTCATAGTATATAAAAATTTTACATAAAATAAAATATTGATCACAAAGTTCAAAGAACTTTTAGCCATGGCTTTAGTCTTGAGCCAATTGATGACTATAGAAGAAAAAGAAGAACACAGTTTGAGAACTACAGAAAAAACCCATTAGATATAGCATTTGCTATATTAGAACCAAAAGCAAAGATCAAAGTATGAGTGTGGAGTTTGCAAAAATAGTATATTATGCAACGATCATGTAATGATGGTTATTAATACACGAGCATTAACCGGGATACGAAACGAGCCAAAGGCGAGTTTCGTATGGTTTATGCGAGTGTTTTAATAACCATTACATGAGAGTTGCATACGCTATTTTTTCTACACCCGATAAATAATCAAGACCTATAAATATTCTATTTATATTGGTATTGAACACAATAACAGTAATTACTCGTATTTCTATAAAAAATTCTACAAAATTGTAATTAATGGTATTACCTTGGGTACTGGTATTACCACAGATTTTTGGGGCAAAATATTTTGTACTGCATTTTCTCCTTTCTCCTATATGTGTGGAGGAGTGTTCTATATCGCTGATATCAGACATTTTAATATTATAATTATCGAAGTTTAGCTATCTACGAAAATTTAATACGTTTTGACAACTAAAACAATTACATAGGAATTTAGGACAAACGTCAAACATCATGCTTGATTGAAAAATTGTAGGTTTCTATTGATTAAAAATCTGTATCATAATGAAAAATCTGTATCATAATGGGTATCATTATGAAACGGATTATGGGCATATAAGTGCATTATTATAATACGGGTGTAGAAAAAGATTATTGTTTAGATTGTTTTTTTCATGTCATTCATCCAAAAAATTAAAATAATGTTTTCCTATAAGAGTATTTGCATTCATTTATAAAATAACGTATTTTGTCTAAATATTTTTCTATATAAAGAACATGTAGATAACTATACAGCTAGTGAAAAATCACATCACGAGATAAATGACATCTCAATTTTTTTTGATGTGCCCCACACTGAACCCGCTATTATCGACGAGTCACCATGACTGCTAACTACAGCAATCTATATATTTAGCACTGCTAACGTGCGTCCTGTTGATATCAAAGCAGTGAAAATGTCAATATCATGCGTGCTATATATAGTTAGCAGGTGGTCGTTAAGGTGTTAAGTTCTTGTTTTAGATATATGCTCAAAAAAAAGTCCACAGTAATTTTGAGGTACAATCTGACATTTTGAAACTTAAATCGTGTTTGGCAGTATGGAAAGTGAATGTTGCTTCTTTAGCAGATATTACCAGCTATGTCTCAGTCGCCACAGTTTTTGAAAAATTGGGTGATTTTTTAGATGAAATTACAGCAATACTTCTGCTTTTAATTTTTTTACTTTATAATCAGAAAATATATTTTTACAATTACGCTACATCAGGTTACTCTCATACAGGCCTGATGATGGTCACTGACCGAAACTAGGTGCTTTATCCCCCATTTTTTGATTAAAATTATACTTTGTGGATAAGACTTGTGAGTTTTTCCTTTTATGGATATCACATTTGAGTTATGGATAACCCTCTTAGTAACTTAATTATTTATTAAATACTAGTTAATTACTGTTATTAATTAAATAGCTACTATTTTAAGCATGTTTTATATCAAAAATTGTAGTCCAAACCTTATTGGTTACTGGATTTGTCAGTTTATTCATATTGTAAGAAATTTATTATTTGGGAAACATTTTTATTGAATAAACTTATAATACTCCAAAACCAATACTAAAGTAGGTACCTACTAGAATTTTTTTAATTTTACAAAGTGATGCAGAACATTATTTTATCAAAAATCATTTTTCTGTGAAATATAATATAAGATAAACTTTTTTCCATTTGTATAAAACTTTAGGGCACATTGTATGCATTTTGACTTAAATATTAATTTTTTATTAACAAATTTTGTTTTCAGCTTTATACACTACATTTGTGTTTGAAAAAGTGAAGAATACATGGAATACTGATGGAACTCCCTTATATGATATTTGATAAAAAAAGCTTTTTGTTCAATTGATTAATCAGCATTTTATAATTAAATAGTGAAAATATATATACAAAAAATGTTTACAGTGTATTAATATACATTATTTTATAAACAACCATTTGAATTTTATATCCATCCAAAAAAAAAAAAACTTTATTTCCTGTGAGAAATATCTGAATTATGTTTAGTCAAAAATCAAGAATTTTACCTGAATGAATTTTAGAAGAGATAATTATCTAAAATCACATAAAACAAAAATGAAAGAACATTATGCCAGAATAGTTGAACACAACATGTTCTCTGAAAGTTTATATTTTAAGCACCAGCTTCTTGATGTTGTTTGTACTTCAGAATACTAGGATTTTGTTTGACTTGAGAAATGTAATCTTCAGCCATACAGCAAGCTTGTTCTATTTCATAATTATGTGATACCAATGTTACCCACTTGGTCTCTAGAGCTTTCAGTTGATCACCTCCTTTCGTTTGTAAAGATTTCCTTTGCCAATTAACTTCCTGGAGTTGCTGCCGCAATTCCGCCAATTTTTTAGATGATATTTTTTCCAAGTCAGTTAAAGTTTGTAGGTACCTTTGCCAAGCCGGACAACAATATTCTAACATGAGTTGTAAGTTTAATATTCGAACAGCCTGGTGTTCTAATTGTGCTTGAGAGTTATCTACACATTCATTCCAAGCTCCTACTTCGTTTAATTTACCACTTGGTGGTGGAGGTAATTCGTAACGTTTCATCGAAAGTGTTTCCATTGGCAAACGATTTTGTAACCTTTCAAATTCATTGTGCATTATCGGTGTTTCAAAGGATGATATATTTAAGGGAGGTAGATGCTCCAAGTAATTCTTTGTTGGGCGGTATCTTCTACATTCTTCTTCTACCATTGCGAAAGCCTGTAAATATTAAAATATATGAAAAAAAAAAATAAAGAAAATGTTTAATAAGAAACTTACCGCTTCTCGTACTCCTGGTTCATCGTACCCTTGATCAATATATGGCAAAGCATCTACTACTACCTCTCCTGCCATTATTAAATTCAAGTATTCCCTTCAATTAGTGTAATTTGTATATATATTTTTTCAAACTTATTAGGTTATAGAACTGTCATTTGTCACTCATACAGGTTGGGAAACTATTACATACTGGGCCATTTTTATTTTTCTATGCTATTACCCATCTATTACCATCGCTACTTCAAAATTTACAAGTACTCTTAAAATTTCTTTTAACTAATAATCCTGTGAACTATCTTCTAAATTAAAATAACTTTATTTTTATGTAATAAATGGCTGAAAACAGTTTATTCATCAGGCCTTTCGTTCGCTGTTGGTGCAGTGTGCACCAGTGTAAAGTACCCCACCTTTGACCTACTTTATTTCCTCCTTATTCCTTGTACACATGTTGAAATTGTTGAGTGTAAGTCGGTCCTGCTAAATAGCTGGTAGAGAAAATATCCACCAGTGGATACCGAAACCACAATCACCACACCGCCATCGTCCGCAGGAAGGTGTAGAGGATTTTACACCGGGACAAACGAAAGAACGTCTTGGCTGGCCTTTTTCTGTATTTTCAAGTAGTTACTTTTAAAAAGTTGTGGTTATGTTTCAACAACAAATACATGTCAACAATAACAATATTTATAAATAAGTTTTCAAAATGCGGAATACCTTCATTTTGCCAAACTTAGAGCAACTATTGTAAGTATTACTTATTATTTTATTTGAATTACATTTACGTTTTTTTCAGTGATGTTTCAGGAATATCTTGTGACAAAGTTGTAGTTATATCCATCATAGGAAAATCAGCTTGCAATTCTTTTGGATTAAAAGTTAAGACTGTCGGTCGTGTGATACCTCCTCGAGATATTAACGAAGATCAAGAGGTAAATTCAAACAAGCGAATTAAAATTGAGTTTACTGGTTTAATTATTTATTTGCAGTGCGTGATAGAAGGTTCTTATGATGAAGAAAATCAAATTGTTTATTTACATATGTGCAGTCCATTAGACACTGACACATTAGTAAAAAAATATGCTGAAATAAGGAAAAATTGTGAGACTGATAGACATTGTGATGATTTTTTGGCTGTGTATGATGAAATCAAAAGCACTTTTGCTCGATACTTATTGTTGCTTTTTCATGTCAGTCATATTGTAGTATTGTCACATCCAGGTTGTACGCTTGATACGAATTATATTCAGTATTTCAAAGCGATAGATTCTTTAAGGTATATACTTATTTTTGATGTTTGTAAGTAGCAGTTAAAATCCATATCTATAATATACAGTATCGGGTATTGAAAATCTTCCAATACAGTTTGCTAGTGTCGAAGCGAAAACTACGAGAAGGAAATGAATAATATCAATGTTGTTATCAATTGGGAGTTATTTCTTGCATCTGATAATCTGGACTCTGCTGTTAAATTTTTTTTATCAAATATTAAGAAATGCAATAAGCTGTTTTGTGCCTCTAAAATTAATGAATATTTCAACTTTTTCTATTTGGTGCTCAGCAGAATTAAAAAGACTTACTATTGACAAAAAAGGCGCACATCGGACATTTAAAAAGTATGGGAACATTAATGATTACAATATATTCTCAGTTTTAATATCTGAATGTAAATGCCTCTCTAAACAGTGTTTTGCAAATTATATTTCTTGCATTGACAACTCTATTAATGATAACCTGTAGTTTTTTTTTAGAATTATTATAGGAATTTGAAGGGCAAATTTACTGTTTTTTTTTTATGTTATAGTTGGCAATACCAATCAAGGAACTGCATTCTTATTTGCTGACCATTTTTCTTAAACTTACAGTGATTAATTTGCTGATTTCTCTGATTGATAATATTAGAAATGTATTCATATTCCAAGTGTTACACAATTATTTTTGGTAGAGAACATGACAAGATTTTATTTGATTACTCAATGGCGGATTCAATTTTTGAACGAACGTGTTAATGAGATAAAAGATTTAGGGCTGCTCTTAGATCAACATCTATCATTTGTTCCTTGTACCACTTATAAAACAAATAAGGCTCATAAAAGTTTAGGTTTTGTCTTAAGAAACTAGAAAAATCTCTTAAATTCCATTAAAACAGTTTACTTAGCTTGTGTTAGGTTAATATTGGAATATGTGTTGCCAGTTTGGTCTTTATTTCTGAGATATTGTGCATTCAGATTAGGTAGTAACTGTCAACTATGATTATAAGGTTCTATTAAACTTTATAAATCTTGAATGTCTAGAATTTCGAGTAGCTTTGTTATATTTGTATAATTTCAGAATCTATTCATTGTTTCGAACTTTTAGAATCCATTCAATTTAGAGTACCAGTAAGATATACCTACACGTCAAAATAATTTATTCTTCATTCCATTTCACGTCCTTTTGGCTTATTTAGTATTCTAACAAGAATATAAATAAGTAAAAAAGCTGCAAGAAATAGACTCTTGATATTGAATTAAATTAAATTCATAAATTAAATTACTTAATACTTCTAATTTAACTGACTTAAGTGTTGGTGTTTCTTTTTCTTTAAAATGAAACTTGTTAATTAATATATTATCTTTTAAATGATTTTTATATATTTTTATTGTAATTGAGGTTCCCCATATGTTTTTAGCCAAAAACTCTATGACAAAGTCATTGAAATTTTAAAGCCTCTCGATATTAGCCAAGAGTGGGCATTAGCTGGACGTTTTTGTACTCCCAGATTGATATTTTATTTCGAAAAATGCCCTACTAATATAAACAATGTAAAAAAGCTAGAACATAACTTGGAAGATAAAATTTATTATATATTAAAGAAGACGCGAATTATTAGCACTACTGGGTAAGAATTGTTTAGGTGGTACATATTTCGTGTATTATTCCTTGTATTCCATATATGTTTAAAGATGTTCTCTCTTTGCCATTCCATTGAATGACGAATTCGTCTATATTGAAGAAGCACCTGGTCCGAGCGATAAGCTGGGACACATGGTAAGAGGCCTTTTGATGGATTGTCAGCCAGGTGGTGCTATGCAGATTGAGGTACCATATTCCAGTCAACCTAGCCAGGAAAAGAATTTCAAAAAATTTCTGCATGTCCATATACAACAAGCTCGGACCAAAGGGTTTGATGATACCGTAAGTTCTGGGCGACATCAGCATTCCCAGTCATCGCATTTTGAGGTTAGTAAAGCTCTCGGACTTTGAAGGTAATATTAAGCTAATATTATAAATTAACTTACCTTTTTTAAAAAATGTATTGCCTTCAAATTAATAAATCAAACCCAAAAATATAATTATCAAGACAGTCATATTTCTCAGTTTATTTATTATTTGTTTTGAGTATTGTTACCTACCACTTTTTATTGACTATAATTTTAATCTAAAAATCTTATGAACTAAATATTTATCCAATAAGTCTCCACTTAATTAGGAATTAGCATTAACATTAATGTTCACTGCACAAGTACAATTGGCTTCTTCCTTTGGAGAGCTTCCTGTTGAGTATAAGGTCCAGCAATTGTAGCGCTTCTTCATTGACTTGGGAATGGAATCGACCCTCATGTTTTGCAGTAAATCTCTTTATTTCTTCTAAGATTGTTTATATTTTCAGGTCTCTACAAAGAACGTTTTTTAATAGATCTAAACATTATTACTCAGATTAAGATGTATTGGAGAAAAGTGTGAATCCTTATTTAAGTTTTCTTCTACTACTATTTTTTATGTTTAACCTCTATTGCAGCTTCCGATCTTAAAACAATGGTTAGAAGCCACCTCCGATATTTATAAGTTAATTTCGAAAAAGAAATTGATTAACTTGCTGTGCACAGAGACGCGGTTTTCTGAACAAAGGTGTCTGAAAGTTCTGCCACTAGCTCTAGCCAGATACCAAGAGAACCTACCACCTAATTACGCAAAAGCCGAGCATGAAGCTAGACTGGCCATAGCTCTAGCATTATTCCGAGCTCAAGCTCGCGGCCCGGCATTCGATCAATACGCCACGCAGTTGGAAATGGATTGTCAAGCGCACTGGGAAAACGGCAGGCAACAGTGTGAAGTTGCTTCGTTGACAGGGAATCCGTGTAAGCTGCCCAAACATCCCAGCGATCAGGAACATCTTAGCGGGTTCATTTATAAAGGTAAACACAATAGATATTAAAATTATTTCTATTTACCTTTAAATTTTCAGCAATATGCGACTGTGGCAGGAAAGTGGGCGCTAGGGAAGATCCGTACAGCGTCAAACAAGCCAACTACATTTTTTACCAGCAAATCTCTAAAGAATGCCAATGTTCGAAACTGGAAAGAATAACTTTTCCGGAATACTCGAAGATTTCAACTACTGGTGAATCAGATGAATCGGTCTTAGACAAAAGCGGAAAAGTATCTGAAGGAACCGAGAAAGATACTAGTAGTAAAAGTAACGATCATCTTCCTGGAATGCTCACTTTAAGCTCATCACCAGATTTGTTACCTTTGTATTCTTCATGGTCATTAGTGTGTTTAGGAGCGTCTTCTCTATATAGCCACAATTTAGGTGTGTTGAATTTATATACAGTTGGGCGCCACTCATTGTTGTATTTTAGGATTGTCGGAGTCACATCATCCAGGCTTCTTGAGTTCCACGAACTACCTTCTACCTTGGGACGTCACAGTTTATTCCAAATCGAAACAAAACTGGCCGCACGTCAGTAAATATACGACGAGAGGCAGAAGGGGTCGGTCTACAGGCAGTTTGCCCCAATTTACCGTCAAAGTATTCATTGGAGTCGAATACGAATGTTCGTCTGGACACAGATTTATGCTGTCCGGTCCGGATAGGATGCTAAAGGCGATGCCGGGAAGTATCGTGAAGGATACCGGCCATAAAATTGCCGAAAGTGACATGCCGTTGTACTATCCATGCGCATGTCGCGCTGGGAAGTTGGCTCAGCTAATGCGGTTGCATGTGGTGACGCCGAAAGCCCCAGTTTATTGTACTCTCCATCCAAAGGTAAGGGAATCCAAAACTAGTCAACTTACTATTATTGTTATTTTATTTTAAATTTAATATGAAATAGAAGATTTCGTACAGCAAAAAATCTTTAATAAATGTTTCACCAGGAAATCCCTGGGTCAAACGAATAAAACTAGTATTTCTTTATTTTTAATTGCATCTCGCTCCACCTTACATAATTTAACATTTATTTTAGGTACAACCTTCACCCGGGGCTCCAATTTTCGTAAGTTCTTTGGATGGTTCAACAAAACTGACCCAGTCCGCCTATTGGATAATGAGGTTGCCCTACGTTTATACCGCCGATAAGGAACATTATCCCGTCAATCTTTCAGCTAGGCTTCTGCAAGGAGTGTTTGGGGTCACTGAAATAGAGCAGTAGACGGATTTATAACATAACGCTGGATTAAATAGATATTTAGCTTTGGAAATATGGGAATATTGAGAAGAATGTTGTTTAGAAAACTCCTACAGATGTGGAGCAGTTCTTGAACTAAAATATAGTCTGAATTGGACTGTGAATGGACCTATACTAAGCAACAGTATCTGAATTAATTCGTTATGATTTATTATTATTATTATTTTATTGTATTATTTCATTTGTATATATTTTTTTAATAAAAACGTTGATATCAGTTTTGTAAATTATTAAAAAAATACTAAGAAAGGATAGAAAAAGTATGTGTCAAAAATTCAATTATACTCCGTAATCTTGAATAAAAATGTGAAAAAGAGGATAAACAAAATGTTTGGAGAAAGTATTTGTTAGGTATTGCAACGTATTTTCTTGAATTATTATTTTATGTTCATATTTATCATGTTAGTGATGCTTAATAATTTTGATCAAAAGATTTTATTTTTTATCTGTTGCCAATATTTCGGAAATCACTCGCGCCGGCGCACTTTTGCACGTTTGAAACGGACTTTTTTGAATCTGAAGAGTGCATGAACCGCTAATTGGTCTGTTTGACCAAGTCGAAAGTGTTCTGTCTTCGGTGTTCTGCGTCGCCAGAAAAACCAAGAAATCCAGATCGCAGACATACAGCCACCGCTAATAAAAACTAATATTTGTTGTAACGGCACTTATTGAGGTCGTAAGGTTCCCTTGCATCCACAGTTGAGCTAGAATAAAGAGAAAAATTTTACATTATTGTTGACATAAAAAAGCTGGCCCGGAGAACTGCTTTTAATCAAATATGTTTAAATTAAATAAAACAAGAACCAAAATTTCTTCTGAATCTACATCAGTCCCTTTCTAGTCAATACTCCATGTCATCTTTTGCCATGAAAACTCGAAACCTGCCAAAGAGTTCACGTGTCTATCCTTCATTGTCTGGGAATTTTTATGACAGGTACTTGGAAAATGTATTTAATTATTTTGATTATACAATAGTTTGACTCTAGATATTTTAATGATATTTACTTATTGTAAACTGTAATCCGTCATTGTGAATATAAAATATTATCTTTATATAAGTTCGTCTTGATATGGTTCATCTAGAGGCCTAGATATTAAATCTGAGATAATATTTAATTTACCATTATTATGAAATTTTTACAGGATATAGAAAGCAAGTTTATTTATTAGGTATAGTTGTATTAAACAATAAGTCAACTATAAAAGGACACCGTTAATAGAAAAAAAAAGCTTCCGTGTTTAAAGATGCTCCAATTAAAATCACTAAATTATGTCTAAATACAATTCAAATAAGTAATCGCTACTAGGCGTATAAGTCATTACCAAGGACCAGAAAAAATGCACCATGAAATATAAAAAAAAAATGCGCATTTTAATGCAATTGATTTGCGAAAAATTAAACAATAGTTAGTTTTTAAGTACATACTTTATTTACCATTATCTTGAATAGGCACCTAAAATTTCATAACACTTATACATATAAACACTAGCATACATAACATATATTAACAAATACATATGCTATTTATTGAAATTGTTAAAAGCATTGACAACTGGACTGAAATTTTCGACAAGAAAGTTTCGTTATTTCACTGTATACATATGTTTATACATCGAAAAGCTTCGTTCTAAGTCTGTAGATGTAATAGGGGCATAATTTAAATGGGGTAAAATATTTAAATTGATTCTCGTGCTTGACTTAAAGTCTCCCGACAGTAGTTTCGAAACTTTTTTAAATTTGAAACCCATTTTTTTCTAACACAGTGTAATATTTATTTAAAATAATTTTTCCTTCAACTTTTTTAAATGCTTTTTCCGCATTATCTATTAATTCAACAGCTTCAACTAAAGTTACAGATGTATTTTGTAATTGTACAAGGACTTTTGACACAAAGGAATAATTTGATTTTATGTAAGCAAGTTGATGTGGTAGTTGTTTATTTTAAATAATTCTTTAGACTTAGAAAGTGCATCTGAAGAAGAATACCCAGACAGCACACCAAATCCTTTGGATATCTACTGAACATCCCAATATCCACTGAATGTCCAGTCCATGGTGGATATCTATTTTATATCCATGAAATGTAATTTATAGACATGCAAATGTCCATAAATAATTGTAATTATATAGCAAATTATTAAAAAATTACGCCATTGTACTCGCCATTGTGGCTAATAGTACCGTTGAGATATTTAAAATTAATTTTTTTTAAGGTGTATTCAATATCCCATGGACATCCACTATAAATATAAATATATCAAAGTCTAAGCGCGGACGCAAACCATCGTGGATATCTACTAGATGTAATTTTTGATTTTGCTTCCTAAGTATAGATGGCGATACCACTTTCGTTTCTACTCATGCTTAACCCGCCGTAATTGAGTTTGATCGACATTGTTTCAAAAACAGACTTCATTAGAGACTGAAGTCGAGAAGTTCCATTTATTGCTGAAGATTCCTAATAAGGATGATTTTCTCATTAGTAGGCAAAATCAAAGGCAGATTGTTGGGAATATTTTTTACCTCTATTTTCTTTCGACGTTATTCAATAACCATTGGTTACTTATGAACCTCTACTAAAAATAATTATAAAATATTTATCTGAATTTCTATATCCTGGGATATAGACGGACATTTGGTTGGATATCCACAAAATATATTCTATGGATATATCTGGGATTTCTTGTATTGTCTGGAGATACTCATTAGATATTTTGCTGAATATCCATAGGATATCTTCTATATTCTGGATATAGACGGACATTTGGATATCCATATTAGTTCCACGGAATATTTCTGATATCCTGTGGATATATTGGATATCCACAAAATATATTCTGTGGATATCTCTGGGACTTGGTGTGTTGTCTGGGTATGTTAAATCAAGAATTACTTTTTTTATTGATTCGTAATGTTCCGCATAAAATAAAGCTGCATCAAGCCATGTGCCCCACCGGGTTATCATTGGTTTTGGCGGTAGCGGAATATCTGGAAGATTTTCTTTATAAAATTGGATTCTTAATGGAGATTTAAGAAAAACTTTTTTAATGGTACTCATCAAATTATTTACGATTGGAAACTGATATCTAATACATTCTGCAACCCTATTAATACCGTGAGCCAAACACGTTACATAAATAAGGTGCTCATAATTTTTTTTAAATATTCCCAGACAGCACACCAAATCCTTTGGATATCTACTGAACATCCCAATATCCACTGAATGTCCAGTCCATGGTGGATATCTATTTTATATCCATGAAATGTAATTTATAGACATGCAAATGTCCATAAATAATTGTAATTATATAGCAAATTATTAAAAAATTACGCCATTGTACTCGCCATTGTGGCTAATAGTACCGTTGAGATATTTAAAATTAATTTTTTTTAAGGTGTATTCAATATCCCATGGACATCCACTATAAATATAAATATATCAAAGTCTAAGCGCGGACGCAAACCATCGTGGATATCTACTAGATGTAATTTTTGATTTTGCTTCCTAAGTATAGATGGCGATACCACTTTCGTATCTACTCATGCTTAACCCGCCGTAATTGAGTTTGATCGACATTGTTTCACAAACAGACTTCATTAGAGACTGAAGTCGAGATGTTCCATTTATTGCTGAAGATTCCTAATAAGGATGATTTTCTCCTTAGTAGGCAAAATCAAAGGCAGATTGTTTGGAATATTTTTTACCTCTATTTTCTTTCGACGTTATTCAATAACCATTGATTACTTATGAACCTCTACTAAAAATAATTATAAAATATTTATCTGAATTTCTATATCCTGGGATATAGACGGACATTTGGTTGGATATCCACAAAATATATTCTATGGATATATCTGGGATTTCTTGTATTGTCTGGAGATACTCATTAGATATTTTGCTGAATATCCATAGGATATCTTCTATATTCTGGATATAGACGGACATTTGGATATCTATATTAGTTCCACGGAATATTTCTGATATCCTGTGGATATATTGGATATCCACAAAATATATTCTGTGGATATCTCTGGGATTTGGTGTGTTGTCTGGGTTGTGCCACTTTAATCATATAAGGGGCAGCGTCCGACGATAAAAGTATAAATTTACTAGAAGGGACAAGACCTGGTAAAAAAAAGTTAGTGAATCCTGTACAAAAGCTAGTCACAGTTAAATTGTTTGTTTTTTCAAGGTGCCTTGGATGATATGAAGTGTGCTTTCCCTGGTTATCTGTAGAACTCCAATTAATAAATTTGGAATACATCTTCCACGAGAATCGGTGGTTTAATCAATTACAATATAAAAGTTGTTATCAGATATAATATTTTTTATACACATCATTTGTGTCTTTATATATACAATAGACATGCTTTTTTCTTAGTGTAGATTCATCTGGTACATTGAACTTGCAATAATTTTGCAAAAATGATTTTAAATTTACATTATTTAATTTATTTAAGGGCATATCTGTTGAAATCATTGCTTTCCATAAATCTTCGTTAAACTGCATTTGGTTGGTTTTATGCGAACTTTGTTGAACACAATTTTTTAAAGTTTGCTGTGGTCTTGCGCCTTCTTGCAATTTTCGCAATGCCTCACCATCTTTGTCAAATTTACTTTGCAAATATACATTCGAGGTTGGTTTATGATATTTGTGTCTGGGGCGGATCATCCATTCTAATGAAGTATTTATATCTCAGAAGAGAATTATAAGATGTTTGGTTGGTAGCACCAGGAACAAAGAAGAACTTGTTCCACTGTTTGCACATCTAAATATTTGTGCTAAATCACCAACAATACTTGGAATAAAATTATTCAATAGACTGCCACAGAGCATAAAAATGCAACAAAATTAAAAACATTTAATTTACCATAAAAACAACAGCTTTTAGAAATATGTCCATACTCAGTACAAGAATATCTTCAATATAAATTTGTACCACATGCTTCACCACCAAACTGTTCTGGATAATAAATTTATATAAATGTATATTTTTCACCTTGATTTTTGCGTTTGTCTCTTCTATGTTTGTGTGTATTATTTAATTACTTTTATCTATTGTATACATACTATTACATACGCATCTTTATATTTATAATTATGACGTGTCCAATAACATTATAATTATTTCAATAGATTAATAAAGAATTAAATTGAATTGAAGTGAATTGACCCAATGTCTACAGTTCCGCCACAAGATAAAATACAATCTATAAGACAAAACAAATTCTCATCAGCAGTTTTACTCCATTTTATTTTGCCTTTCGTCGATTTTCATACTACTAATAGGAAAAAATTATGTGTTTATTTTTATGAGTTAAAAAAGTGTTAATCACGCCTATTAGAGAAAAAAGTCGGCCAACCTGAAATGTACCACACTTATATCGATATTAATAGTACCAAGCCATTGGACATGTCTGTCTATTGGTGTAAAATGAGTAAGGGTTTAAGGAACTGATTCACATAGCTTTTAGACTGGAATACAAATTCAATTAGTATTTATCTAAAGTTTAGGAAAGTATAATATACATACATGGTGGGCCACCGGTAACGCCTGGGTCTGTAGAGCCAAAACTATATGACTTTTTTAAAATCTGTTTTCACAGCAAGATGTATATCAGAAAAGAATAATTTCAATTATACAGGGTTTTCCAAGAAAGTGATACACTTTAAAGTTAGGGTTTTTTAAATGGAACACACTGTATTTCGTTTTATATTTGAATTGTCCTCTTTTTTCCCATTATAACAATACCAAATAGTATGAGATTATGCAGGGTATTTCACACGCTATAATCAGTTTTACATGAAAATCGTATGAATTTCAATCTGTATGTATAGTGCAAATGAAACAATTTAAAACTAATTTTTTTTGCGGTAAAAAGCTTTCAATATTAGTCAAAATGTATGCCGATACACAGCTTTTTTCAATTAGAAACAAATGTGTATAGGCCGAGTCAAAACTCAAATAAATCATTTTCTTAGTTTATTTTAATTTATCACCCTGTATTTTATAACAATTTAAAAGTTCCTTAAAGTTTTATTTAAGTCAAGCATTCCCTATACTTAAAGTTAATAATTTTGAGATTTTTAAATTTAAATGAAAAAAAAAAAACAAAAAAGATAAATCACAAAATACTCTATAATTTTAACGGGTCACTGGTTAATAGGAAATAAGACTGTTAATTTATTTATTATCGACTAAATAATAAGTTTTTGACAATATCTCTAATGCGAATTTTAGATTAAATTAAAAAATAGCAATCGAAAACTTCACAGAATACCTATTTTATCCTAAGTTTATTAAGTATTATTTTGACAGATTTTATTTAATTAGACAAATTTATCTAAGTAGCCATCAAATTTGAGTTGGAGATCTTAAGGTGGTTTTCAAATGTCCAACTCACATTTCTAAGCTTTTTTTAAGTTACACTCGAAATACTTCTTTTATTCACGACTAAAGGTTTTATTAAAAAACTGACTAGGCTTTAAAAAATAAATATTGCAACACTTATGACATTAGTAATAACGAAGTATCAGTATTGAGGTTTAAAAGTCAACTTAGAAATATAATAAACTTAGAATAAGGTAGGTATTATAATGACGTGAGTCTAGAATTGGTTGCTATTTGTATTTATTTTTAACTGAATGTTAGTCCTATTTGAAATTGTCAAAAACTTTTTTATTCGATAATAAATTAAATTCTAACCACTAATTAACAGTCTATTTCCTGTTAACCAGTGGCCAGTTGAAATTGAACTATTTTGTGAATTATTTTTTTCGTAATTTTAATTTAAAAATCTCACAAAATTAGTTATAAGGAATGAGGTACTTTTAAATGGTGTGAAATCCCCGTATAATCTCATACTATTTGGTATTGTTATAACGGGAAAAAAGAGTGCAATTCATATATAAAATAATATACAGGATATCCCATTTAGAAAAACGTAACTTTGATATGTACCACTTTCTTGGAGAACCCTGTATAATTGAAATTATTCTTTTCTGGTATACATCTTGCTGAGAAAACAGATTTAAAAAAAATAGTGTTGGCTCCACAGACTGAGGTGTTACCGGTGGCCCACCCCGTATACAGGGCCTAGGAGAGCCAGACCGGGCCCCAGGACAATTCTCCAGATCGGGCCCCGCGACAATTTTATAAAAAATCAAATAACAAAAGGTCTTCAAGCAAAAATTTCTCCTCTTCCTCTACTTAAATTTATCTAAAAAAGAAAGGTACTCAAGCAAAAATTTCTCCTCCTCTACTTGAATTTCTCTAAAAAGAAAAAAATATATCCACAAGATATTTTATAGATATCCAGTGGACCTAATATGGATATCCAAATGTCCGTCTATATCCAGGATATAGAAGATATTCTATGGATATTCAGCAAAATATTTTATGGGTATCTTTAGTGGAGGTTCATAAGTAACCAATGGATTATATCCTATAGATAAAAAAGGAAATAATTCCAAACTCTTGGACCGGTTTCGTCCTTATTAAGACTCTTCTGCAATAAATATAAATTCTCGACTCCAGTCTCAAATGGAGTCTGATTGCAATACCAATTTCGGTCGAACTCAATTACGGCGGGTTGAGAGCATGAGTAGATATTCAACGAGCGAAAGTGGTATCGCCATCTATACTTAGTAAGCAAAATCAAAGGTCGCTGTAGTACCTAGTTCAGAGACTAGGTGGAGTAAAAGCCAGGCGGGCTATTCTTAAAAAAGGAAATAATTCTAGTCCTAATAAGGACGAAACTGGTCCAAGAATGACTTTCTTCTTAGTGGGCAAAATCAAAAATGACATCTAGTGGATATCCACCATGATTTGCGTTCGCGCCTTGACTTTGATATATTTAGTGGATGTCCATGGGATATTGAATACACCTTAAAAAAAATAATTTTAAATATATATCTAAACGGTACTGTTAGCCATAATGGCGTAATTTTTTAATAATTTGCTATATATTTACTATTATTTATGGACATTTGCATGTCTATAAATTACATCTCATGGATATAAAATAGATATCCACCATGGACTGGACATTCAGTGGATATTGGTATGTCTAGTAGATATCCAAAGGATTTGGTGTGCTGTCTGGGAAGTGGCTGTGATGAAAAATTTAAAGGATGGCTCACAAAATCTAAAAATAAATCTGCTAAAACCAACAACAACTTAGCTTGTTGTACAGTGTGTAATCATGAAATGCTAGAGCATATAAGTCTGTAATTCTAAGACATTCTGCCTCTGAAAATCATAAATTTAACTACAAGCAAATTGCAAGTAATTCAAAATTTTCAGATTGTCTAAAAAGTACTGAATTAGGAAATAACATAAAAAATGCTGAGATACAACTGTGTTGTCTTTTGGCTACAAATAACCTTCCATTTATACTGATGGGCAACTTAATTGTCACCATTAACTAAAAATATTTTCCCAAATTGCCAAGGGAATTAATTTAAAACGGTCAAAAGCTACTTCAATTATGACAGAGAGTTTGGGAAAAGAATTTATAAAGGAACTTGATCAGGAATTACAACAACCTACTGCATTTTTTTAAATAATTATGGATGAAACGACCGATACCTCTAGCTGTCAAGAAGCAGTGTGCGTTTTTAACCGACTTCAAAAAGGGAGGAGGTTATCAATTCGTCGCGATATTTTTTTTTATGTATGTTCAGCGATTATTCTTTAACACGGTGTCCGATTTCAATGATTCTTTTTTTGTTAGAAAGGGGGTACTTCAGGGGTGGTCCCATATAAATTTAGTCAAAATCTAATAATTGGGTCCATGAGAAAATCCTCAAACTCTTCATTTTTTATGTATGTTTAGCGATAATGCTTTACCACCTTGTCCTATTTATATGATTCTTTTTTTGTTAGTAAGGGGGTACCTCAGGGGTAGTCCCATATAAATTTGGTTAAGATGTGGTGATGGCATCTGCACGTTTTTGAAGACGGTTTTTTTAAATTTTTAATTTCTAATACTTGTCTGTAATATTCTACGATAATGAGAAAAATGTTGTTACCACAAAATTTGTTTGATATAGTTTTATCCAATTTTATCAAATTTTGTAGGTTTTTCATCAGACATGACAAATGTCATGGTAGGTAAACACCTTCCTGTTTTTTCTTTACTAAAAGAAAAACTCCCTTGCATAGTAAATGTGAAGTGTTCTTGTCACATGTCGCATTTAGCAACCTCAAGAGCCTGTTTAAAGGTGCCTAGAGCTGTGGAGGATTTAATAAGAGTAAAGAAATTTGAAGATTTCCTATTATTTTTTAAAGTTGAAATTCATAAAATTCTTTCTCCGGCAACAACACGTTGGCTGTCTTTAAAAGAATGTGTTGAAATAATTTTAGAGCAGTATGAACATTTAAAATTATATTTACAAGAATTGTTATTTGAGGACCCATCAATCACTACTGAACAAATGGTATTGACAATGGACAACAAATTTACACAAATCTATTTAGAATTTATGAGCTATATCTTAGACATTATGATGGGGTTTAATAAATTATTTCAATCAGAAAGGCCTTTATTATATAAATTGAAACCCGAAATAGAAAATTTGTTAAAAACCCTATGTTCAAATTTTATAAATATTTCTATTATTAGAAATGCGGATATTTTTTTATTGGATCATACTAATTCTCATAATTTTATAAAAATGAACAAAGTTAGTAAACAATATTAAGAAACGTTTTACATTTGAAGATGAAATTTTCAATTTGTTATCTATTCAGAATATTTTTGTCTGATTTCCTGATTTAGAAAACCATATAAATAAACAGAGTTTAGATAATGAATGGCGTCAGCACGCGCTATTAAATTTTATAATGTTAAATCTAGATACAAATAACGCCGAGACGTACTGGGGACAAGTCTTTAGTTTAAGAAATGCGGCAAATGTAACTTTATTTCCTAATTTAAAAATATTAATATCTTTACTTTTGATTCTTTTTCTAATGATAGTGTGGAAAGAATATTTAGCAATGTGTTTAATATTAAAACGGACAAAAGAAATAAGTATTAAGTACTAATACTTTGAGGGCAATTTTAACAACAAAAGATTATATAAATTCTCGTGGGGGACATTTAACCCAAATAAGAATATGCTAAATATGGCGAAAAAAAGATTAGGACTCGGATTAAGATGTTTTTAATTTTACAAAAAAAAAAAAAACGTTTTTATATGTACTTATATTTACCTAATTTATAAGTATAATGTTTAGTTAAGCTTTTTTTTAAATTCTTTTATGTTTATTATTTGTTAGTTAGTGAAAAATAAATTATATTGTTTATTTTGTTCATTATTGCTTCCTTATATTCATAAATAAACAAATTATTCAATATTGCCGCCCTTTTCTCAAGGGGGGGGGGGGGTAATTGTGGGTAATTTCAGGGTGCTCGGAGGATAATTTTTACATTTGACATTGGCAACACTGGTGCATCATGAATCGTGGCCCGTGTGCATTTAGGATTGTCGTTAAAAGTTAAGAGGAGGTCAGTGAAAAAAGTTATATCAATATCAACCCAGCATAAGGTATGTGCCTTTTAGTATTTTTATATCTATATTTTCCCTGTTCTTTAATGATTTTGTATCTATTACATTTATAGGTTGTTTCCTAAAATATTTCCAGGTTCGTGAAATAGCATAAAATGGCGGCACTTATACAAATATCATTAGAAATTCACTGTGTCCGTAGTCTTCATAATTGTGGCAAAGCCAAAATAATAACGTCCAAGTTGGCCACATTTGGAGCAGTTGGATTTATATAAATTAATGTTTTTTTTGCCAATAACATTGTCTTTATTTTATATTTCATGTATTTAAACAGTTTTTCTTTTTAATTATAATTATTTCATTTTCTAGTTTTGCTTTATTAAGTGATCCACAATTCCTATAGAAAAGTTACAAAGAAGCAACCAAATCAAATATGTCATGGTGGCGTTCAAAAAACGACAAAGGAGGCATTAAAACAACGTTATGAAAATGTCACAAGGACGCTATAAAGCCTACTAGAAACGTCATAAAGACGTCATATTTAGACGTGAAAAGGACGTTTAAATATGACGTCATTTGGGCTGTGACATATTCACGTCATTTTAGCGTCATTATCACGTTAGTTTTCAGAGGATTAATGACGTCGGGTGTGACAAAAATAGGATGTCATAATGACGTCAGTCTGCTGCCTGGGTTTAAGCTCAAAATAAGGTTGCTTTCTGACTGATCTCGTTTCGCTCAATTCGATGGTTAGATACCATACCTCACAGCTCATTTACATTTGTTATGGAGGTCGTTGTTAAACCCGAATTGGGAAAAAAAACAGATTTTATTGTGCTAAATCAACTGTACCTACCTCACTTTGGACTTCGGATTATTTTTTGCAGCACATATAATATATTTAGGGTTCTTAAATTCCGGGAAAAATTTAGAATGTATATTGTTAAAAAAAAAAAAAATCGCCGCGCCGGTTACAGGCGAAATATTTTTGCGATTGCCTTCTTTTTCCGATTTCCAGTCTCCCTGTTTGTTTCTCTCATTTTAAGGACAATTTTAAATGTAAGAAAAAAGTACGCATTTTTTAACTCGGAAAAAAGATCAATTTTTTTTAATTATTAAACATAACAGAAATACCATTGGCAACTAGGAGGTAAGTGGGGTCTATTCTGTAACAATTCCTTTATATTGTAACGGCCGTTAAAATATTGGCCGGCCTTTAAAAATATTTTCGTATTCACTAACTTACCTACTTCTGTCATTATTTAAACGGATTCCTTTAAAATACCTATACATATTAGAGAACTATTATAAAGAAATCCGTTTAAATAATGACAGAAATATTTTTAAAGGCCGCCAATATTTTAACGGCCGTTAAAATATAAAGGAATTGTTACAGAATAGACCCCATTGGGGTCTATTCTGTAACATTTCCTTTATATTTAACGGCCTTTAAAAATATTGGCGGCCTATAAAAATATGTTCGTATTCGTTAATTTACTTCTATCATTATTTAAACAGATTTCTTTAAGATAGTCCTCTAATGTATTTTAAAGATCCGTTTAAATAGTGACCGAATTAAAGAAGAAAATATTTTTAAAGGCCGTTAAATATAAAGGAATTTTTACAGAATAGACCCCAGTATCAACTCAACAAAAAAAACCTAATATTTATTATTGACAAAAATAAACAAGAAACAACAAATTTAAAACTTTTCCACTACTATTTAAATCTATATTTTTGTTGAGATCGAACTGCTTCAAGTAATATATATTAATTATAACATTCAAAGTTTGGTACTTCTGCATTATTTAAATTTGAGGCTAGTTCAGTCCTGCAATCTTGCAAAGCGCACATGGCACGATCATCACGTGTCTCGAACATTACGTTTTTTCACGCATTCTCGTTGGAGCAGCCTAGTTAACGGTATTAATATTGTGTCAGTTAAAAAAACATTGTTAGTAAAGTTGATCTAATAAGTTGTCATGATTGTGTTTAGTTGAACCTGTATTTTATATTATATAATAACCAGGATTTTCTACTTACACGAATATTTTCCTACAGGTGGGTAAACAATAAATGTTATATTTAGAAAATATAGATCAATACCGCGAGTTTCTAACCTCAATGGGTAATATCGCAACAGTGTTGTCATGTTTATAATTGTTTATTGCTTAAAAATTGCGCGTTTGATGGTTATTGTGGTCTGGTGGTAGTGTCTTTGATTTTCTAATTGGGAATGGAATCAATGTTTTTATCTTAATTAATAATATTTAATCTGCAATAACAATGCTTATTTTACAATAAGAAATTACTAAGATTACTAAGTAGTTACCTACTTTTTTGCATTTGTTCAAAATGTAAAATACAATTTGAATTTAATAATCAGCGTTCATATGCCGTTTCCATGGTGATATCTAACAATAAGTTTTACCTTTGTAATATGAGTATTTATAAAATTACCTACACCTTTTGTATTAATTTATATTTATTAATTATTGATTGATAAATACCCAAATGAAAGATATTAGTGAATGTTTTCTACAAAATAGCGTTTACATTATTATCTAATTATAGGTAGGTATGTTTGTTTTTATAATATTTATATTTTACAATATTTATATGGTAAATTACACTGAAGTTGTAATGTTTGTAACAAGGGTTATCTCATTAATAAAAATAATAAATAAACTAAAGAGTGATTGATTGACAAAAACTGCTAAAGTAGGTCATGACCGATAAAGATATGAGTCATATCCCATACAGCACAAACACATTTCGGAAATATTTCAACAATGTTACATTGAAACATTTGCAATGTTGTATAAATATTACGAAACATACCAAAAACATTTCTGAAATATGCCCGAAACGTAAAAATGTCCATTAAATATAATATTTCATAGTAATATTTCTGAAATGAAAATGAGAAATATTAAATAGTAATATTTCAGAAATGTAGTCTAGTTCTTTTTTCTAATATATTAGACTAATAAAAGACATTTAAAAATGTACATATTTATTTAAAATACACAAAACTCAAACATTTATTCTTAAACAAACAAATAAATAATTATGTTTCAAAGAATATTTCATAAAATATAGAAGCAAATTGTTTCATTTCCACCAATTCCTTTAAATGCACTAATTTGAAACAACTAGGTTTTTTTTTAATAAATGCTCCAAGTAAAGAAACATTTACGATTATTATAATCTAATCATTAAGATCAATTAGCAATTTTACCTAACTTATCTAGGGATGAAAAACTTCATAAACTAAAATTCTACTCACTATATTATAGTGTACTTTAGAGTCTAATTATTTAGTTACACTACCGTTAACGTATAACACTTAACTGCATTATATTCTGTTTTAATCTAACCTTACTGAACTAACTCAAAAGGCCTGGTTCTCTGGAGTCTTCTTATTAGATTGGCATTATTGTGGAGCTGGATAATCTCAAGGTTTCCATGTTGGAGCAGTCGTTGTTGGTGACTACTGGCAAATTTTTGTATTATATTTTCAACACTCTCCACTTGAAAGGCCCTATGAAGATCAGTATTGTGGCAGTACCAGGGGGGCATTGATGATGTTCCTTAATACTTTATTCTGCAAACGTTGAATAACTTGGATGTTATTTTTACTGGCACAGCCCCAAAGCTAGCAAATTGCTTCATTTACACCAATTTCTTTAAATGCACTAATCTGAAACAAAATATAGGTAATTAAGAAGGATTTATACAAATTATTTGATTAACAATAGTTTTATTAATATTGTTTTAAATTAACTATAATAAAACAATACAAAACATAAAGATTTACCTAAGCATGCATTATTTATGTAGTTCTCACCTTAATTTCTAAAGACTTATTCTGCTTCCCATATAATAAGTTCACAACGCATGAATATCAAAAACCAACAACTCAAATCTATAATTATTTAGAATATAATAGGCTTCTTTCTAGCTGGTGGCTGGACAGGGACATGATGAAATAAAATAGCTACATATTCCATCTTCTTCTTACAAATCAGAAATTCTTCATTAATTGTTGGCCTTTTACAACATAACCTGTAACCTGTTTAGTAACCTTTTGTGTAACATGTATACCATGTTTCAGAAACATTTTCAGTGAAATATTTAACTAAAATATTTAAGAAATATTTCAGAAACTTGTGCTTGAAATGTTGTTTGAAACGTTTGAAATATTTCTGAAACATTTCTGAAATAATGTGTGCTGTATGGGATGGGATACGAACATCTCTGAATTAAGTCCAAACTGTCACTTAAAACGAAGAAAAATTGTACGCTCCGACATACGTGAATTTTTCCAAGGCCTACTTACCTTATAAACGTTTGTGAATCACTCTTTTAAAGCTTATCATATAATGAAACTAATCTAATTTTTTTTAAATAAAAATATATCTTCTAATATGAATATGGTTTATTCTGTCAAATTTAAAACGCTGAAACTTTTCGTGACACGGTGTCTGGCCTATACATACTTTTGCAACATTTTATCAGCGTTTATTGTTTATACCTAACAAATTTCAAAAATTCATTTAAACCAATTCGTTTTTAAATCTAGTAGAATATATAGGTATACAGTTATTCTACCTCGTGGATTGATTAGGTATGGGCTATTCAAATATTTAAATAACGGTATAATATTGTGGGCAAGTCTTTACCCAACTAATTTAAAATTAAAATGAATTGACCCTTCGACTGGATACCTACACCACATATTTCACCAGTATTTTTAATCTTAAAAGGTACTTTTTGGTTAACTGAAATTGTAAGATATATTTAGACTTTTAATATCGAAATTTTGACAGAATGTTTTTCATCTTTTACGATTTTATTAAGAAAACTGTGAAGTCTGGCAACGTGTAAAACGTTTTATCGGTCAAGTCGTATACGTATCATTATCATTCGTATCAAGCTAGCAGAGCACCTTTGCTTTGGATTTTTCACATTCTGAGTATGCCATAATTTTAGGCTAATTTTATACCAACATAAAAAAATTGCGCTCTTTTCTTTATAGGAAAAATTAGGTAGTCTGCTGGCTTAACAACAAACATTTATTGCGTTTTCCATTAAAAAATTCAGCAATGTAAAAAATGATAACGGCATTATTTTAGGTTTATTTTAGGCTAACTTTATACCAACATAAAAAAATTCACTCTGGCCTTTATCGAAAAAATTAGGTGCCCTGCTAGCTTGAATATACGACTTTATTGTTTTCGGTTAATAAAATTGAGGAAACTAAAAAATAGACACGACATAATTTTAGGCTCATTTTAGGCTAATTCTATACCAACATAAAACAATTTCTCTTGCCTTTATTGAAAAAATTAGGTGTTCTACTAGTTTGACAATAAGACTTTATAGAGGTTTTCTGTAAAAAAGTGAAATTACCTCAAAAATGGATACGTCATAATTTTAGGTTCATTTTAGGCTAATTTTGTACCAAAAAAAAATTTCCGCTCCTTTATAGGAAAAATTAGGTGTTCTGCTAGCTTGATATAAAGTTAGCAGAACACCTTTGGATTTTTCAAATTTTGATTACGCCATAATTTTAGGCTAATTTTATGCCAATCCTAAAAAATGTTTCGCTCACTTCTTTATAGAAAAAAATAGGTAACTTTTATTTATTTATTTATTTATTTATTTATTTATTTATTTATTTATTTATTTATTTATTTATTTATTTATTTATTTATTTATTTATTTATTTATTTATTTATTTATTTATTTATTTATTTATTTATTTATTTATTTATTTATTTATTTATTTATTTATTTATTTATTTATTTATTTATTTATTTATTTATTTATTTATTTATTTATTTATTTATTTATTTATTTATTTATTTATTTATTTATTTATTTATTTATTTATTTATTTATTTATTTATTTATTTATTTATTTATTTATTTATTTATTTATTTATTTATTTATTTATTTATTTATTTATTTATTTATTTATTTATTTATTTATTTATTTATTTATTTATTTATTTATTTATTTATTTATTTATTTATTTATTTATTTATTTATTTATTTATTTATTTATTTATTTATTTATTTATTTATTTATTTATTTATTTATTTATTTATTCATTTATTATTTATTTTATTTATAATTATTTATTTATTTACTTACTTACTTTTACTTACTTACTTACTTACTTACTTACTTACTTACTTACTTACTTACTTACTTACTTACTTACTTACTTACTTACTTACTTACTTACTTACTTACTTACTTACTTACTTACTTACTTACTTACTTACTTACTTACTTACTTACTTACTTACTTACTTACTTACTTACTTACTTACTTACTTACTTACTTACTTACTTACTTACTTACTTACTTATTTACGTACTTACTTACTTACTTACTTACTTACTTACTTACTTACTTACTTACTTACTTACTTACTTACTTACTTACTTACTTACTTACTTACTTACTTACTTACTTACTTACTTACTTACTTACTTACTTACTTACTTACTTACTTACTTACTTACTTACTTACTTACTTACTTACTTACTTACTTACTTACTTACTTACTTACTTACTTACTTACTTACTTACTTACTTACTTACTTACTTACTTACTTACTTACTTACTTACTTACTTACTTACGTACTTACTTACTTACGTACTTACTTACTTACTTACGTACTTACTTACTTACTTACTTACTTACTTTACTTACTTACTTTACTTACTTACTTTACTTACTTACTTACTTACTTACTTACTTACTTACTTACTTACTTACTTACTTACTTACTTACTTACTTACTTACTTACTTACTTACTTACTTACTTACTTACTTACTTACTTACTTACTTACTTACTTACTTACTTACTTACTTACTTACTTACTTACTTACTTACTTACTTACTTACTTACTTACTTACTTACTTACTTACTTACTTACTTACTTACTTACTTACTTACTTACTTACTTACTTACTTACTTACTTACTTACTTACTTACTTACTTACTTACTTACTTACTTACTTACTTACTTACTTACTTACTTACTTACTTACTTACTTACTTACTTACTTACTTACTTACTTACTTACTTACTTACTTACTTACTTACTTACTTACTTACTTACTTACTTACTTACTTACTTACTTACTTACTGTTCTGCTCATGTACACTAGTATTACTTCAAAAGGGACATGAAACTACATTTTTATTATCTGCTAAAATTTTAAAATACCTATTTCTTTTTTTATGAGGCCTCAAGTCCCTGGTGGATATAGCAAATTCATGTTAGAATCAAAAATATAAATATATTTTTTCATTGTTTCTACCGATTATACTTGTACATTGCACTAACCATTGTTTAAATTAAGTTTATCCTTTCTTTGACAAGAATTTACCCACTTTTTGTGGCATTCGGAAATATTTTTATGTAACTCGTTCAGGTTACTGGACCTCGCTCTGATCGTCGCGCAAATATTCACTAGTTACATAAAATAAGACATTTAGCAACTGGTTTCATAAATAGCTATTATTTTGAATAGTTTATATTATTTATTAATTAAACTCATTAATCACTTCATTTGTTTATCTGAGGGTACCACAATAATTATTCAGAAATAATATTAGTCCAATTGAAATTTTATAGATGCAAAATCCATTAAACCAAATTATTTATTATATCTACATATCTTACTCATGCTAACCTATATCTCTAGCTATTAAATTTAATTTAATTTGATGATTATGATATTAAAAATGTAGGTATAATAAATACATATGATCAATCATTAATTTATAACAATAAACATACCATACAAAATTTAATTATTTATTTGGTAAAGTCATTCTTTATATTATTACTCAGATTGGTATGGAATACAAATATTTTTCAAGAAATTTTTTGTTCTAAATGAAATAAATCTACTGAAAGAAAAAGATTTTAAAAAAATATCGCTAGATAAAGATAATATATTTTTTCTACGTTCATGCAAAAAACAAAACTTTATTGAACTATATTTAGTGAAAAAACTGGTTCTTTATTGCACTAGTGCAATAAAAATTTTATTGCCCTCATCTGTCATTTTACTACAGCGTTTTATGATCATGACAAACATAAATATTCAAATCGACGCCAACTATTTAGTCAATTTTCATTTTCTGTGAGATTGTGTTACGTTTTAAAAATATTAATATTGAAAATTGTACATTTACTTTTAATATTAGTGGCAAAAACAACGTTTAAGCTTAATTATTGTTCATAACACAGTTGTTCCTAAAGTTTTGCTTAAATTATTTTTCTTAACATAGTTATAGTACTTTTTCAATGTTAATCGATGCTAATTATATTAGTTATTAAATATTTTGCTATTAAATTACGCTTTCTATTCTTTTGCACTTAGTGTCGCCTAAATAAAACATTTTTTGGTTTGTGCATGAACGTAGAAAAAATATTGTATGCAACTCGTGCAAAAAGTGTTTATTGCACTCGACAACTTAACGTCGCGTGCAATATACAATTTTTTTAAATTTTGTCTGGAATTTTTTTAAAAGTTAATCATTTGGTAGTTGACCAATCCTTATAAATAACTAAACATTAATTAGTGTTGATTTTATTAAATAATAAAGAACAATTATTACTAAATTACTAAGATAACATTGCAGGAAGGTGTCATTTATCACTGACTTTGTATATTCGTTAAAAGCAGGTACCTAAATGGCTAAAGACCAGTAGGTATAATATTTCTAGTTATCATTTTATTTTGATTTATTAGATTACTTTTCAACTTTTATAACCTAACAAAAATAACCATGAAAACTACTATGAAAATCGTTGTTTCTTTTTTGGTTCGTGTTTGTCAACTCTTTTTAAGATTTGGTAAAATGAGAGACTGAATATTTGGGCCAGACCTAACCTAACCTAACCTAACCTAACCTAACCTAACCAATGAACTGTAATAAAATATGAAACACTGTTGAAATAATATAAATTGTTACGATTTATTCCTACCACTCAATTGCAAAAGCATGTTAAATTCGAACAATGTAACTTGGCAACTTTTAATATACAAATAGTTATTTAATCTATTAAGTCGTTATCAACATTTTATTTATTACTTCTTAATTAGTTTGTTTATACATTCCCAAACTATAAATCTTTGCTATGAGTAATGCAAATTATTTGAATAGATATTTACGATTTTTTTTGAATTGAAATACTCAGATGAAAAATCTAAGAACTCTGTACTTTTTTGTACTGTCAACAGTGTCGTCAACTAGGCAAACTACTTTTAAAAAGTAAAACTACTAATTACTTTAGAAAAAGAAGGTGTGTGGCAGGGGCGCATATACGGGGAGGGGGGCGGAGGAGGGAAATAACGGGGTAATTATTTCCCAAGAATGTTTAAACATAAATTTTTATAGGTAATGAAATGTATTATTATTATTATTATTATCAAATATGAAGTCTTAAATATATCACCACTACCTTTCCCAGACTTTCTTTAATACCACTACCCACTGGGACTCAATTCTCGAGTTTTATTCCCATGGGAAAATAAAATTTTCCCATGGGAATTCAGTTTTCGTATTCTCAACACAAGCGGTGGAATATTTTCCAATGAGAAGTATGGGAAAATAATCCCCTGCTTACGAGCATTGGAAATTGTGTTTTCCAATGGGAATTGTACTAGAGTTTGCGCATTAAAGTCTAAAATTTGACGAAGGACTAACACATAACCAAAGATTTTCGGATATCTTGGATTTTTGGTGAAATTGTAGTTAAAACATTTTTTTGGCGTATTTATAGATTTTTACTTGTTTGTACTTATTATTTAAGTTGATTGATATTATTTTATTTATGTAGGTATATTATAGGTATATATATTTACTTTTCTTTCACTAAGAAACTGTATGAACTGATTTTATTAAATCAGTTAGCAATTTGTGGGAGGTGCTGAGGGACTGATAAATAATACAAATTGAGAAATTTGTAGTAATTTGAATAATGAAGCAACCCTTTCGAAAATTTTATTATTTCCGTTAACGAAGGAATTTCTTAGTTTCTCGAAACTTTCGTTGCTCTTCCGTACAAAAGCTACTTTTTCTTTATTCAACATGTAAAAAGAAAAGCTAATAATTCAACAAGTTTTAATTATACAATCGAATATTGTCCCTTGTTCCTCGGTCATGCTAGCGATTGCACGGCACCTGCTCCGGAGCGGAGGCTCGGCAGGTAACAGATGTTACCTACAAACCACAACAAATACCGATAATGCCAACAGTAAATTTTAAAATATCTTTAATGTTATTGGTGGTTTCGAAATATTCGTGGACTTAATATCAGACATACGTGAAACTACTATTTCCATAGGAATGTCTATTCCGACAAGTTTGAGAATTGCATAACCTATTACCATGGGAATATAAGTAGTGGAATCTTTTCCCATGGGAAAATTTTCCAATGAACTCGAGAATGGAGCCCCTGGTGTGTGGTCGGTATGTACCTACCTACATAACCACAAAAACAATGAACGAATATCAAATTTTTCCCTATAACAGAACATAAAAACTTGCGTGAAATGACATGCCGGTGACAATCTCCAGCGAGTCGCCAACTTTTCGGGCTTTCGCCGAAATTAATCTGTGGCGAGTCGCTGGCGATCGACTATGCATACGGCTGTGAAATTCTGCGCCGCATATAATTTAGCGGTCCTAATAATCTCCTGCGCAGAATCCTGTTGTCAATGACTGGTTTCTGATCGTTGTTGGAACATACCTATGATGTATGGGAAGCATTATTTAGTTTGAGGGTGTAGGTACTAGAGTCCAATGTACAGAAACTAGCTTTGCCAAAGATAGAGAGCAACCAGCTGAATTGGAGGATCATTAGAAACATGGAGAAAGTAATCTTTCAAGATACCGAGGTCCAAGTACTAGTCTGCAGCCATTCGCCTAGTGTCCAGGTTTCAGCTAAAACTGTACCTTGTTAGTTCCATGCAAATGGAAATTGTAAAATTCAATTTTAGTTCTAGTGGAACTATCTCTTAATGAGTGCCAATTTTGTGCGACCGCCTTCGACCGACCCTGTTCTTTGTCGACCTTCACCGCTGCCGTTACGTCTAACGCTGGCTATCGAGATTCGACTAGAAAGTTTCTTTGTACGCAGCCCAACGCGTGGAGGAAGGATTTCACGGACGCATTGATATTATTCTAGCCAGGACTGGTTTTTCTAGACTTACGTTTTTGTATATAAGTAAATACTTTTGCCGTTTTAGCTAAGTTTTAATATAAGTGTTGTCAAGTAAAGGTGAATTGTTAAATACATTATAAATTTGAAATAGTTATAAATAAACTGTTTAAAATAAACAATCGTTACAATATTGTTTCTTTGCCAGCAAAAACGAAAAATCTTATCGATAAGCAACTCTACTTTAAATTTGACAGATTACCCGACAGCTCCCACCACTGGGACATAGTACATCTTGTTCACACTCTCCTCCCATGTATTTAACTACAAATAGCAAACAAACACGACATGCCACTTTTTGCAGTTAGATGAAAGACTAACGTTTTTTTTTTATTTTTTGCAGACGCTGCAATTTTTTACAAAAATGAAACCTCAATTTGGATCATGGGACTATGTGGTTATTGCTATCGTACTTGCCATTTCTTCTGCAATTGGTATATATTACAGATTTACAGGCGGCAAACAGAAAACGACAAAAGTGAGTATCGCCAAAATCTAGACTTGAGAAATGTGTATTAAAATTTAAAAATTTTGGGAATCGATGTTATAAAATATAGGGGATTGAGTTACAATAAATATGCAACAAATCCTAATTGTTTATAAATTTTATTCGAAAGGAGTTGAAAATCAATAAAATCGGATTTTTGTAATCAGCTCAAAGGAACAAACGATTAATTTTTTTTTCTTCTAATTTTCATACTAATTGTGAAGAATTATAAACATTAAAACAACGGCGCCAAACTGACAGATTTTAAAGTGTCACAATACTTCTTTATTTACATAATTTAAAATGGTTTGTGTCAAAATTATAGTAGGCAACGTTTCCCTCATAAGTATTTATAACATATAGGTATCGTATTGTGTGATTAAAAGTGATTGGAATGCATTTTTTATTTCTTTTCTAATAACATTTTCGAGAAATAATTCAAATTGTACATTAGATTCCTACTTAGATTAAATAATATGACTCATAAAATTGCACACCTGGTATATTATACTTTCTTTCGTACTTCGTGGAAATTAAAACCACCAGGTGTACTATTTATTTGTATCACTCGTCCAATTTATCAAATAAGATTTTTTTCGCAAAATAATGATTTATTGCATATTTATAAAGTAATAATTTCAATTTATTACGAGGATGGGATGAAAAGTTTCCGGCCTAACCTATAGTAGGCCCGATTTGCTTTCCTGTTCCAACGTGTCTGTGTAGCCTTGCTTGTCGTCTAGACATGGGTAACGCACTAAAATTCTTTGCGTTGATACACTAACTCCGGCGCACTCTATTGCGCCAACTCATTGCGTTAACGCAATTGCGTTATTGCGTCACACCACTGCCTGCGCCGAATGAAGTCGATGCACCTCTGTGTATCGCATGATACCGGTGTTATACAGCGCGGGCTGTCTTTTGTTCAAGGCAATAACGCAATTGGGAATTTAACTAAATTTTTTTTATTATATGTTTAAAAATAAACGAAAATATAACAGTGTAATGCACTCATTTTTTTATTTCATTGTGTTCGGATTTTACAAAAAATACAAAAATTCCAATTTATATAAAAAGGATATAAATTTTGTATACTAGTAGCCAATCAAATTGAAAAGAACTAAAAATTGACAGTGTACAAGATTAAAATTCATAAAATTCGACCTACAATCCTACAAATGATGTGACGTGTTGCAAAGAACATAATTACTTGAAAGATTTTGGGTAATCTGCATTACGAGTTGCATCAATTACGTAAATTAAAATTCTGAACTCGTCACGGAAAACGGAATCAGTGCCTGGCGCATGGCGCACCAACAACTCGCGATCCTTTCGACTCAGTATCGAAAATTGCGTTGCGCTGATACAGTAACAACTGGTGTATCAACGCTCGTAACGCATACAACTGCGTTAACGCAATAACGCAACGCAGCGCTGCGTTACCCATGTCTATTGTCGTCAGTATACGCTCGAAGTTTAAAGTGCGTGCGTCAAGTAAATTGTGTCCTGGGCATTTTAAAAGCTTATAAAGTGCGCCACTTTAAAAAGATGGAAAAAAACGAGATAAGAGCGGTGATAAAATATTTCTATATCAAAGGATTATCGCCGACGGAAATAAAAGCTGAACTAGATGCTACACTAGGGGAATCTGCTCCTTCATTTACCACAGTTAAAACCTGGGTAGCGGACTTTAAACGTGGTCGTACTAGCACTGATGATGCTTCTGGCAGGCCAAAAACGGCAACTTCTGAGGAAATGGTGCAAACCGTTCACAAACTAATTCTAAAAGATCGCTGATTAAAATTGGAAGAGGTAGCTGAGGCTCTGTGAATATCAAAAGAGCGAGTTCACTATATTTTGTGTTTGCTCACGTCAGATCAGAAGCTCACGCGGCTAACCATTTCAGAGGAGAATTTGGCACTGTTTAGACGTGATCCAGGGGACTTTTTGCCTAGATTTATTACGGTTGATGAAACATGGGTTTATCATTATACCCCTGAAACTAAACAACAGTCCAAACAGTGGACAGCAAAGAACGAACCAGTTCCAAAGAAGGCAAAGGCAGTATCGTGTGTTGGAAAGGTCATGGCAACGGTCTTTTGGGATGCTAAAGGGATACTCCTAATAGATTATCTCGAAAAGGGAAGAACAATAAATTCCGAGTACTAAAGCGACTTACTGGACCAGCTTAAGCAGAATATAAGAGAAAAACGCCCTGGTTTGGCCAAAAAAGAAAATTCTGTTTCATCAGGACAATGCACCTTGCCACAAGTCCGTTCTTTCTTTTAATGGCTAAAATTCATCAGCTAGGCTTTGAACTGTTAAACCATCCTCCGTATTCGCCAGACCTAACCCCGTCAGATTTTTATTTGTTTCCAAACCTAAAAAAAAATTCTTGCTGACAAAAAATTTTCCACGGATTTAGAAGTAGGGCCACAAACGCCTATTTTGACGAGTTGGATAAATCAGACTACAGTGACGGTATTAAATCGCTTGAACATCGTTGGGTCAAATATATTACCCTACAAGGGGTCTATGTAGAAAAATAAATTCTTATTATATTCAGTCACTATTAGGTCTGTTCTGGTTTTGAGAAATAACGATCCACAACTGTCGGGCTCATGCGCAGTAGATAAAAAGTGTTCTGGTTTTTCTGGGACTACTTCGGATCTCTCAGTCCAGTGTTCTGGTTTCGTATCCGAAATAATCCGTGATTGTTGTAAACAGTCAAAAAGTGTTCATGCTTGGGAGTGTGGATCGACTCGGACTGTTTTGACCGCGCATGCGTTTTTGAAGTGTTATGAATATTGTATTGGCTTTTTAGACTATACGAAACGTATACAATCCCAAATTGTTTATTTATATGTGGACGAATGTCTCTTGTTCTTGTTTTATTTGTAAATTAAAGCAATTTTAGAATTATTAATTTTTTAATATTATTCTGTTTTTATTTATTCCATTGAAATGTGATGATAATGGTAAACATATACATGCAAATGTTATTTGAAGCTGAGCTTTCAAAAGGAACTTCATTATTATAATAAACAATAAACAAAACACCTTTATGACGCTGTTCTGGTTTTCCAACAATTTCAAACAGTCGGGGATTTTTTGCCTTTACGCATACGGTCCGGCGCAGTTTCAAAACAGTTTTCATTTTGAGAACCAGAACAAACCTTAAGTGTTGCGTTCTATGTTAGGCCGGAAACTTTTCATCCCATCCTCGTAAATGAGACTCTTTCTGTCAATTGTTATATTTTTCCTATCACCCTCATTTTAACATGTTATAATATTTGCACCACAACGCTGAATAGAATACGAGGGTTTTTCAATAAATAAACGAACAAAAATTTACTTTCTTTTTAGGAATATTTGCTGGCAGATAAAAATATGTCAGTAGGCCCTGTGGCCTTTTCCTTGATGGCATCTTTTATGTCCGCAATAACTTTACTGGGCGTATCCAGCGAGAATTACACGTACGGGGTGCAGTTTATCGTTATTAATTTATCGTATGGACTTTTTACACCTGTGGCTGCTTATCTTTATCTACCAGTATTTTTCAAATTACAGGCCACTAGTGCGTATGAGGTAAGGATATGTATTATTTAATTAATTTTTTTTCTTAAGTTTGGGAAATATAAGTACTTCAAACATAATGACATAATATAGAATAAACAATTCTTTTAGTATTTAGAACTGAGATTTGGAAAGACCGCAAGGTTAGCAGCTTCTCTGTCCTACACTCTTCAGATGACCCTGTACATGGGTATTGTACTGTACGCACCTGCGTTGGTGCTTGAAGCGCTTACGGGTATATCCAAAGTTACCGCTATATTATCAGTAGGTACGTATATTAAATATTTCACCAAATCATTTTTGGAAATCATATGATCCTAGAGTAAATGATCTACTGTACTTTTGGATAGTAACTTGTAAAATTGTGTTTATTAGTATATTACGTAACAAGAGTTGTAAGTAACCCATTACGCACGAAGTGAAAAAGTTTATTTCACGAGTGAGTAATGGGATTACAACTCGTGTAACGTACTATACTTTTTCTACGCCCACTTAAAACATTCTCAAAAAAGGATTTAACGTTATGCTTGTGTCGCCAATCTATAAATTTTCGATAGGTAATTTCGTACCTTTCTTTACATTTTAGCGGTAACAAATTATGTGTGGCAGCTTGAGCTTTTTGTAAAATCTCCGGTGGAGTGCTCATAATGTCACTGCTAACAAACATATTTGTAGGTAAAGTTGAGAAAATGTTCGGATACAATCATATTTTGTTACAAAAATTGACAATATAAATGGCATGACGTTTATTTCCAGAGCATGCTAAGAAAACGTGACATATTTTTTGAAATATTGTATAATATGTTGCCGACATTTAGGGGCATCACTCTTTTAATCCAAAATGTATCTCGCTAATGCTAAAAGCTTTGTTTTTTAAATGACTAAATTTATGTAAATAGACCAAATAAAGTCGTACGTAGACAAAAATTTGATTGCAATTTGATTAAACCAAGAAATTTTTTTTATCAAAACGCACGTGTATGTTATGAAATCTCATTACGTGCATGTTATTTTTAAATGTCATTTACAAGGAATGTTGATAGTGCGATTTTTAACGTTTACTGACATGGGCGTAGAAAAAAATCTATAAGATACGGATTACTATTACTGCTAGGTTATTAAGTTTACTTTTTGCCCACAACTGTGACATCAGATTGATCGCGTGGGATACGGGTATTGTTGAAATTACATTCTTTAAATAATATATTTATATTATAACTTCGACATTACATCTGACTATATGGATTAAGACGGCAGTTGGAAACGGACCTGGAGCCCTGCCGCCACCGCATGCAACGGAAAATTTGTATTCTTAACTACCCTTCGTTAGGGTAGTTTTGTGTCGCATGGTGTAGCGAAGAGTCTCTTATTATTGCAGTAGTTCAATCATTTTCAACCAATCAAATCTCAGAATATCATAACAAAAACTGTATAATCGGCTAAAAAATGGCAAAAAATTAACTTATGTGAATGTCAAATTAATAGTTTTTATCATTATTAAAATAAATTGGGCAATTAGGCATTCCAAACAAATGAATTACCAGTGGGCAGGTTTGGTATATCTAAGGGTGGCGACATATGGTGTATTCTATCTACTTTACGTAAAATCATGAATAATGGATTACATTTAAATATTTTATGTCAAACACAATAAAAATAATATTTAAAAAACCCATTTATACATTTTTTCATAAATTGGCAGGCTTGGCGAGTACTACTTCGAATAAAAATAGTGTCCAAGTTGCAAGACTATGTCGCTACCCCCTTAAATATACAAAAATTTCCCACTGGCACCTATTGTTTGACAGGTCGTTGGAATGCCTAATTCATTTGTTTGGAATGCCTAATTGTCAGCAGTTTGACAGGTCGTTGGAATGCCTAATTAGTAGTTCATTTTTTTCGTAATCTATTTCACAGAACTGTGACGTCATTATTTTTTAAATTGAACACCTGCTTGTTTATATTAAAAAAAGTTAGTCCCTAGTCCCTTTAAATACATATCCTAATTAATAATTATTCTAATTTTTCTCAAACAGTTTTTAAGAAAATTAAACCAAATGACGTTACAGCTCTATGAAATAAAACAAGAAAATCTAAAATAAAATCATTTTAAAACTACTTAATTTGTTTTTGCTTTTTCCAAATTTTAATTATAGAAGGTTTTATAAATTTTATAAGTTTCTCTTCAGACATCCAGGTATACCTCTTATTCTTTTATAAAACGTTCATAACGGATCTAAAAATTTCTAAATATGCAGGCCATTTTAGTTTTTAATAGACTATTTGCTTGTCTCCTTAAAATATTTTTATTTTTTATATGTATTAAATGGATGGTTGTTTATTATAACACAGAATTATGTTTTTAATAATAATATAATTTTAATAAGGCATTATAAGACCATCAGGCATATTAGTTTTAATTTAAATAGAAGACACTTTCAAAGGCTTTTTTAATGTCCAACAGGAGGATGGCAAATTTTTTATTGTTTAATTTTGTTGTTTGAACATTAGAAATCAGCCGTGTAGTTGGTACCAGAGTGGAGATTTGTTCTCTAAACCCAAATTAAAATTACGGAATTCTCGGTCGTTTACTAATGCTAATAGTTTGTCTATTTTTTAAAAAAATTATTTTACAATATCAATTCAGAAAAGTAGCACGGGATAAAAATCGCACAATTCTATATAATACTCTAATAAACTCCCTAAATCAATAAAACAATATACCATAGTCAATTCGTTCAAAAAATCTAAAATAGTATTTGATTGTTAAATGCTTATACTCTTTGGATGTTTTAAAAAAACTTGTGTCTCATGAAGAATATTTTTCTATTTTAATGCTTACACAGTGAAACCTGTACATGTTATCTATATTCTATATATTTATATAACCATAATTCTGGTATTATTGACTTGCATTTTCAGGAATAGTTTGTACGTTTTATTCGACAATAGGAGGAATGAAGGCAGTACTGATAACAGACGTTTTTCAGTCGTTACTTATGTTTGCAGCTGTATTCAGCGTCATAATATACGCTTGGGTAGACAAGGGAAGTTTAATAGAAATTTGGAAAATAGCTGCTATGGGAAATCGAACAGATCTTCTTAAGTAAGCAACTTTATGTTCTTCTAAACTATACTCTATACAATACATTTTTTACTTGGAAATAGTAAAAAATATCAGTTTTTCTCTTATTTTCACCTAATTAAACTTTGATCGTTTTTTAGTTTTAACCCCGATCCCACTGTTCGACATAGTTGGTTCTCGTTACTAATCGGAGGAGGCATCACTTTCTTATCGCTCTACGGTGTCAATCAGACGCAAGTTCAAAGGTATTTGACTATAAAAGATTTGAAAAGAGCTCAACAGGCGTTGTGGTTAAACTGGCCCATATTAACGGCGCTGAGTTTATGTACATCTTTTTCGGGTTTGGCGATTTATTCCAGATATTCCGAATGCGATCCAGTCGTTTCCAAGCAAATTAATACAGCAGATCAGGTATAGTTTGTACTAAATAAAACTATTATAGAGAATATTATTTTACAAATTTTAGTTGATGCCTTATTACGTGATTGAAACTATGGGAAATATACCGGGGCTGACTGGATTATTTGTTGCCGGAATATTTAGTGCTTCATTATCAACGATATCTGCAGCTCTAAACAGCTTAGCTGCCATAGCTATTGAAGACTATATTAAGGTGATTTATCTGTATATTTGCAACATCAATGCGTCAAGTTTGTATTATCCATATGACGAGTTAAAGGGAAATCGCTATATTGCTTCTCAAAATATTCCTCTTTGAAATCTATACACTTTTGCATCTATTAAAAACATTCATATTTTACTACCTTAATAAAAATAAAAAAAATATTCTTCGGAACTACACTAATTATACTCCATCTTGTTTTATATCAAACATACAGAGGAATAGTTAGATAATAAGTAGCAGTGCTGAGTAAGTTCATAGAATTAATCACAAATGTTTAAATCAAATTTCAGCCTCTATATTTCCTGTCGACGAAGAGGAAATTATCAGAAAACTCAGCTACCGTCCAGACAAAAGTCATTTCTTTAATATTCGGCGGAGTTTGTTTGGCTGTAGCTTTCCTTGCTCAATTTTTGGGCGGCCTTCTTCAGGCTTCTTTAACCATATTCGGCGTCGTTGGTGGACCTTTATTAGGATTATTCACATTAGGGATGTTTACAACTGTAGCAAATGAACCGGTAAGCATTCATTTTAGATCTGAATACTTCTGTAGAGTTAGAATTTTTAAAAGTTTTACTAGTTCTTAATTCTAAGAGTTCTCAAAATTTGGAGTTCTTAAAACTTAAAGTTTTTAAAATTCAAAGATGTTAAAATTTAGAGTTCTTAAAACATAAATTTCTTAAAACTTAGAATTCCTAAAACATAGTTTCCAAAACTTAGAGTTCTTAAAATTAAGAGTTCCTAAAATTAAGAGTTCTAAAAATTAAGAGTTCTTAAAATTAAGAGTTCTTAAAATTAGGAGTTCTTAAAATTAAGAGTTCTTAAAACTTAGAGTTCTTATAACTTCAGAGTTTCTAAAACTTAGTGTTGATAAAACATAGTTCTTTAAACTCAGAGTTCTTAAAACTCAAGAGTTGTTTAAACTTAGAGTTCTTAAAACATATAGTCCTTAAAACTTAGTTTTTAAAATTTAGAGCTTTAAAACTCAGAGTTCTTAAAACTTGAGTTCTTAAAACTTTAGTTCTTAAAACTCGAGTTCTTATAACTTAAGATTTCCTAGAGCAAAAGTGAATCTCTTTAAGGCAAATATTCGTGTTAACGTGTTAAAAGATAGTTCAGAACGTTTATGATTAATTACAGGGATCTGTAACCGGCTTGGTATGCGGAGTTGGATTTGCTGTTTGGGTCGCTGTAGGAAGTAAACCTCCAGTTCCTCTTCCAACAAGTATCGAAGGCTGTGAAAAACTGTTCAACGTTATCGTTAACACCACTTCTAGTGCTGCATCTAGTCAACCAGAAAAGTAAGGTCACGATACTTTTTTATTCTATTATAGCTTCATAATTTCTTCGTTCATTATCACTTTTTGGTTAGAATGTGTCAATATTTTTTTATTGTCAAAGATGTCATTTTTAAAACATTACTATTATATTTAGTAGTTAACAATATCGTTTTTAATGTTTCAGTTATTGAAAAGTCGGCAAGTTATTTTTATATTGTGAGCCTAGCGTCAGTATCGTTTTTAAAACTTCAGCCGCATCATTTTTGAACCATCAGCAATACCGTTTTTAAAATATCTGATATATCATTTAAAAAATTGGACTTTATCGTTTTTAACACGCCAGCAGCATTATCGGTTTAAAAACACCTGAAAAATGGTTTCAAAACACGTCAGCGATATCGTTTTTTAAAAATTCAATTGTATTCGTTTTCAAATAACGACATTACCACTTTTAGAATGGTATACATATCATTTTGAAAACGTCAGTTGCATCGTTTTGAAAACGTCCGTTGTATCATTTCTAAAACATCAGATGTATTGTGTTAAAAAATTCAGCAGTATCGGTTTTAAAACGCCATTATTGTTTTCAGAACGATATAAGTATCGTTTTTAAAACGTCAGCACTATCGTTTTAGCATGCCTGAATACTACAGAGCGGGGTTTAAGATAGAAACGCTTATTTTTAAGACGCCAGCAGAATTAACGTTCTTAAAGCGTTTTTAAAAATCCACCAGTATCGGTTTTAAAATAACATCGCTTTTAGAACGGCCTAAATATCGTTTTTCAAATGTCCGCTGCATCGTTTTTAAAACCTTATTTGCAACGTTGTTAAAACGTCAGCCGTATCATTTTTAAATGTCAGCCGTATCGTTTTAAAACGTCGTTCGTGTAGTTTTTGAATTAACAGCAATATCGTTTTTGAAACAGAAATATTATTAAAACATGAATAATATCGCTTTTAAGACGTCAGCTTAATAATCGTATTTAAAACGCCTGAAAAATGGTTTCAAAACACGTCAGCGATATCATTTTTAAAAATTCAACAGTATCCGTTTTCAAATAACGACATTACCGCTTTTAGAACGGCATAAATATTATTTTGAAAACGTCAGTCGCATCGTTTTGTAAACGTCAGTTGTATCGTTTTTAAAACAACAACGTATTGTGTTTAAAAATTCAGCAGTATCGAGTTTAAAACGCCATATTTTTTTCAGAACGACATGTGTCGGGTTTAAAATGTTAGCACTATCGTATTTTTTAATTCATCAGTGTCTGGTTTAAAATGCCATTATCGTTTGTAGAACGATATAAGTATCGTTTTTAAAACGTCAGCACTATCGTTTTTAGAATGCCTGAATACTACAGAACGGGGTTTAAGACAGAAACGCATATTTTTCAGACGTACAGTCACATCGTTTTTAAATCAGAAATATAATTTTTACAACATTAACAATATCGTTTTTAAGACACCAGCAGAATTAAGGATTTTAAAACGTTTTTAAAAATCCACCAGTGTCGGTTTTAAAATAACATCGCTTTTAGAACGACATAAATATCGTTTTTCAAATTTCCGCTGCATCGTTGTTGCAACGTTGTTAAAACGTCAGCTGTATTTTTTAAATATCAGCCGTATCGTTTTTAAAATGCCAATCGTGTAGTTTTTGTATCATCAGCAATATCGATTTTGAAACATTAGAAATATTATTTTTAAAACGTGAATAATATCGCTTTTAAGACGTCAGCAGAATAATCGTATTTAAAACGCCAAAAAAAAAAGTTTTAAAATTTATGTCAGCGATATCGTTTTTAAAATTTCAATAGTATCGTTTTTAAAATGCTTTTCGGACGGCATAACTATTTTTTTTAACGTCAGCCGTACTTGTTTAAAAATTCTAGGGTTTAAAACAAGGCCATTATTGTTTTTAGAATGAAATAAGTATCGTTTTCAAAACGTCAGCACATTGTTAGCACTATTGTTTTTAGTATGCCAAAACATTACAGCGCAGGGTTACAGAAACACATGTTTTAAAACGTCAGTCGTGTCGTTTTTAAAATGTCAACAGCTGTAATATTTTTAAAAGGTCAGCTGCGGTATCATTTTTAAAATGCTAGTGTTACGGATTTAGAAAAATAATAATCGATTATTAAAATAATGGTTTTTTATATTTTAGGTCGTATTTATGGATTCACAGAGTTTCGTACCTCTATAACGGAGTGTTTGGGATTCTCATCACGCTAATTGTTGGAATTATCGTCAGTTACGCAATCAATAAGTTTTCTAAAAAACCGCAACGAACTTACGATCCGAATTTGTTCGTGCCGCCGTTGGCGAAGAGGTTGAGAGAAAAATGGGGCGATTCTATTCATTTGAATTCCATAGTAGCGGGCGTGTCGTCGGAGAATTTAAAAATGGAAAAAAATGATAACGGGTTTTCGTAATAGTGATATGTTTTTTACTTAATATACGCTATATTAGAGAAATCATAATTTGTGTTCCAATTACAAACGATAGTTACAAAAATAGAGGTTATAGATATTCATTGACATTTTATATCTATAATTTTCACCTATTTTTTACGTCTTTCAAACAATATTAAAAAAAAAACTAAAAACGTCAATTACAATGACAAAATGGTTTGTTTTTGTGTGGTTTTTGTAACGCAAATTACGTCACAATAATATAGCGTATTATCAGTTCCTTTTTAATAGTTTTTATATTATATACAGGGTGACCTAAAAGAAAAAGTTCCAGATGATAATTTTTGATTTAATATTGACGAGACATGAAATGTGAGAAGTTTGAAACGAAGAAAATTTGAATGCGTATGTTACAAAATAATGGAAATAATTTATGTTTTCGATAATTCAGCTGCTAAATTTGTAGAAAATTGAAAATATAAGTAGGTACTTATTATATTCCATAGGACCTTTCAACAAAAAGTCCTGTTTTTTATTAAAATGTTGTTTATATGAAATGAAATACAAATCTCTTTGATTTCACCACGTTGCGAAATTTTTATTTTTGTTTCACACAAGGTGAAGTCAAAAGATCCCTGCTGGCAAACATAACCTCACAAAAATAGGATTTTTTTGCTGAAAGGTCTATTTATTTTATATTAAATTTTAGATAATTTTTATTTATTTGTATTTAAAATGTTACTTATTGATTGTTGAAGGTTAAAATTTTATTAGCTAAGTTTTCGTGAATTTAAGAATGTTACACAAATTAATATACCAAAATAAAATATTCTATTTACGATTTTCATATGAAACATAAACAATAGAAAGTTTATTTATTTCTGAATGAAAATCTTTCATTGTAATTCGTTATATATTTTTAAATACCTTATTTTAATAAAAAAAAACAGCCTTTTTTTGTTAAAATTTTCATTCAAATAATTGTAATAGTTATTTGCGTATCAAAGTCGTAAAGTTACTGACCGGATCAGAAATGTACAGTCTACGGCAAAAGCAATATTCGGTTAGGTAAAAAAAGTCACGAGTCTGAGCCGACTGTCTTATCAAGTAGGTCTTATTTTTTTACATTTTTGTTCTTTAAATGAGACTTAAATGCAAGAATAGTTTCAAATTTTTATTTTGTAAAGTGACTTTTTGGATTTTGCGGTCATATTGTAGTACACATTACGCTCTATGCAATGGTACCAATATCTCGATTACCTCCGGTTTTAGAATTTCCAAAATATTAGTTTTCAATTCACTAACAATTCAGCTTGTGACACTTTAGTCCCCTACATAATTCATTTCTAGAGCAGTTTTGTTACAAATAGCACCATACTATTATCCAGTTCTGACCTACAGATACAAATATTTTTTTAGACTATCGAGGTAGATATGTGCCTTTGTTTTATTGAAATATAGTTTAATAAACAAATATTTTAAAATGAAAAACACTTGTTAGGCATTTAATAATGTTGCAATAACAATTTAGATAAATATACAAACACAAAATGTACCCTAGACAATAAACATAGGTAAATCACGATCACGTTTTAATTAAGATGTACGCAGTTATTATAAAAATCAACGGTTTTTTGTTAATTTTCTTTGTTACTTCACTGTCTAATTCATTACACTTTTTTTCGCATCACTGTAGCTACATCCTCAATTTCATATTATTGGTGGCCTAATTATATAATTCATGATTTTTTAATATGACCATGGCTACGAAAGATCTTCTATTTCAGATACATAGTAATAACTAAATAAACTAGTCACAACGAAATAGGTAACACTTATTTAAATTGTTATAACTCCAAAAAGAGAGGAGATACCTTAAATTTTGTGTTCTTATAGTTTAGGTATGTGTCTTTAAGAGTGTGCAAGTTTTAATTTTTAAACATTATCGTACATTTAATAAAGTTAAAAATAAAGCAAATTGATAACAACACTTGTTTATTAATATCAAAAAATTTCTAAATAAACAAAAACTAATAATGTGTATGCCCTCCTCTGGCTCTTAAAACTTCGACACAACGTCTAGGCATAGGTTCTATTAGTTGACGAATCGTTCCTTGAGGAATATTATTCCATTCCTCCTGAAGTTGTACTGCTAACACCTGTAGATTATTTGGCTGTTCTCGATCCCGCAATCTTCCCATGATGCTCCAAAGATGTTCAATAGGGTTTAAGTCAGGACTGTTGGCTGGCCACTTCATTACAGTAAGATTTTCCTCTTCAATAAAGTTTTGAACAATTCTTGCAGTGTGAGGCCTTGCATTTTCTTGTTGTAAAACAAAATTAGGGCCTTCTAGATGAGCCAGTAGAACGACAGTAGGTGCTAATATCTCATCGTTATAACGCCTAGCTGTTAGAGTGCCATTTTCAAAAATATGTAAGCGTGTACGCCCGTTCAATTGAATACCTCCCCAAACCATTACAGAACCACCGCCAAAAGCTCTTACTTCTCTTACATTGCAATCCAAAAATCGTTCACCACGGCGTCTTAGACTCTCACGTCCATCGTTGGAGTAAAGGCAAAATCTTGATTCATCCGTAAAAAGAACATGGCTCCATTGATGAATATCCCAATTTATATGTTCTGCTGCAAAGTTTCTTCTTGCTCTACGATGAGCTGGTGTTAAATGAGGAACAATAGCTTGACTTCTTGAGTGTAGTTGAGTTTCATGAAGTCTGTTACGTGTAGTCTGTAGAGATATGCGTCTACCAGTGGCCTGAAAATGTAAGTTTCTTATCTATGTAGCTGTTCTTGTCCTATTTTGTAGGGATAATCGTACAATTTGGCGGTCCTGTCGGGGCGTAGTTATTATTTCTCGTGGTGTATATGGTCTTCTACGGATAATACCTATGTCTTGAAATCTATTCCACATTCAGTGAATCGTTGGTTGACTTGTTTGAAGCAAGCGGGCTACGTATCTCTGCGAATGTCCTTCTTGTAATAGTGTAACGGCTCTTGCTACTTCAATTTCACTTAGATGCCTTCTTTGTACAATAGGCTTTCCAAGAACATCGTTATTCATAATTTCAAGTCAATTGTTAATGTTACAAATATTTTAATTGGTGTACAAAGTAAAACTGAATGTATCAGATACTTTTAATTTTTTGCGTAGATATTTTTTTTTCTCACCTCATAAAACAGTTTTGTTTTTTTATATTGAAAATATGCATTTAGGTGTGCTTGTTATTTGTGTAAATTTTAATGGAAAATACGGGGAACATTTAAAAAGATTTAGATAATTAATTCAGTGATACCTATTTCGTTGTGACTAGTTTATTAATATCTTACTCTAAAGATAGCCCTGTACAGGGTGATCAAGAGTATAACTTGATTATAAAATAAAGGATATCTCAAAACCATGTCACAAAATAATAAGAGCGGCCATTTCCCACATGAAAACAACTACTCTTATTGCTAATACAACATTATAAAAATTCTATGGGTATTTTGATGACCAGAGGCCCTATTCTCGAATGTCTATCAAAATGTCGATCGACAGATACTATCCGTATTCTTAAAAACAAATCGACATTTTAAAATCGGTAACATATTTGGCGAACGGTAACATCTGATAACATTGGATAGAAACATACAAGACGAGTATATTACAGCAAACAATTACTTGAAGGGTCTCTAATATAGTACAGGATCCGTAAGTAAGGTCGACCTTCACCCATTTGTTTAATGGATGAAAGTTTTTATTTATAAAATAAAATATCGTTGGCCCAAAATGCAAATTGCTTAGCTCCACTTTTTACCGAAAATACGTTTTATTGGCTATCCGTTAGTTAAAGATCTATACTGTCGATTCGAAATCGCCTACCATGTCTATTTGAAATATTCGCATCAAAAATTACATGATGCATTTTGGCTAACTCCTTTACATTAAGGGTAGATCTGAAAGGTTTTTTGTTTCTCCTGAAAAATTTATATTTTAGGAGTTAAGCCATTTGCATCTTAGGCCGACGATATGTTTATAACTATACCGCAAATGGGTTGCCTAACAAAATATGGTCACGGCCATTTTTTAATTTTCTTTCTGTATACAGACAAGGAAAGTCTAGAAATCATGATAAAAGTTGCTTGTGATGTCATTTTCTATAATTTTATTTCTATATATGATTTCCCTAAAATGCACCTAATTCGAGATATTTGAAAAGTACAAATTTCGAATTTTGAAGATAACTCAAAAACAGATGTAGAGAAACACCAAATTTTAAAATTAGGCTATAATCCATCCTGCGATGAACTAACTAAAGTTTGGGCACAGTCGAAGCATCTGGGAAATACTTTACAGGGTGTCGTTTCTTTTGCCAAAGAATACCTACCCAAGAAGCGAAAATAAATGGGCAATTCGTGGACAAAAAACTGCCAAGTTTTCTCAGTGTTTTAGAGGTGGTTTGACGTCAAATATAGTTGTCAATTTATGTAGAGAAACTTTTGGTATATTATTAATAGCGTTTTGTGAAAATTGCAGTTGTATCTAATTAGAAATTAGTTTTAAGATTTTTATAACATGAAAAAAAAAATGCATTGCGTTGTTCATAAATTTTAATGAACGTTTCGAATTAAAACAGTAAATAAACAACAATACAAAACAATAATTAAAATATATGAAAAACTCACTCCGAGGAATCAAGTCGCTGCTATTAGGATGCAATCGAAATGCATTTACAGTTACCTACAGTACTTCTGGATGTGTAATGTGTGGAAGGTGGGTTACCCTACGGCACTTAAGCCTCACTAGGGCCATTGTGTATCCTCCTAAGATAACAGGCACCTCCTAACTCGTGAGCCAGCCTACAGATTTAATGTAGGTGACAAATTTGTCAAGAGGTGTTCTTCTCTTATATCGGCCGGTATTAGCCAATACTCGCCGAAAACAAATATTCCAATAAATGAGAGCATCGGGCAGTCGTAAAGGATATGCTCAATGGTCTCATCTTCTTGTTCGCACCCCCTGCAGGGTGCGGATTCTGACAGCCCCATAATATGAAGATGCTTCCGTACTTGGCAATGACAAGTCAGAAATCAAATGCATGTGATCAGGCGCAAATTCTGTTTAGTCATAGTCAAGTATTTGTTTGCTGTAGAGTTGTCAGGATAACTTGAAAGCTCACTGGCAACTCTGCAGTTTCTTGTTTCATCCCATCTTTTCTTGAATTTCACAAGGAAATGCTCTTTAATTAGGTCTGTTACTACAGATGTTGTCAGTACAATAGAAGGGCCAGGTCCAAAAAATATTTAGTTGGCTGCCTTCTTGGCTAGTGAATCAGCAAGATGTGGCGTGATCTTAGATAATTTCTTAAGGTGACCTCATTGTTAATGGGTAAGTAGTACTTATCTGCTATCTGTATAGATGAGCATGTTCCTTCCAGTGATATTGTTTCTGGTGATTTATTTTGCTGCTATGAGAATCTCTGCGAGCTCGGTTTGAACTACATTGGCACTATTGCTCACAGCCCGTTTTACGTCGAGGTTTAAGGAATTGGAGTATATTCCACATCCTGACCCCTCGTTTTGTTTTAGATCGTACATCAGGTTCTATTCCAACCTTTCAGAGGCTTGTCATCAGATCAACCTTCTTGATATTGTAAATACCCAGACAACTGCATCGTATGTTAGCATAGGTCTTATAATGGCCATGTAAGTCCATGTGACGACTCTGGGGGAGAAACCGCAGGTGCGCCCCACGGTTCGGCGGCATTGTTCATAAGCAATGTATGGTCTTTTGTTTTCTAAGTGTGAGTTCCATAGTAACTTGCTTTTAACGGTGCTACCTAGGTACTTCATCTCTGTTGCAAAGTTTTGTTTTGTGTTTAGGAGCTCTGGAGGTTTTAATTGCATTTTTATCCTTTTTCCTTCTGAAAAGGACCATTTATGTCTTCTTGGGATCGATAGAGACAGTGAATGGTCCTTGCACCACTGTTCCATAATTGTTATCAAAATTCCCTATTTGCAGAATGACCAGGTCATCTGCTTATGCTTTGTGTACTGTCTGTGATTATTGTACCTACAGTACTTATTTCGTTATTATTATAATCCATTTTACATCATGAACATAGTAAGTATGTGTTTAATTCTTATGAACCAAACGACAAAAATTGATTAATTTTCATACGTTTCCCAGTGTATTAAGTTCCCATGTTTTGGTACATACGAAAAGTCATTTACTTTCGCTTCTTGGGTAGGTATTCTTTGCTTTTACTTTAAGAAAATAAATAGTCATGACTGTATTTTCTTAGGAAACCCATTTGCGGCATAGTTATAAATATATTTTATTTAATAAAAAGAAACTTTCATCCGTTAAACAGATGGGTGACGGTCGACCTGACTTCGGATCTTAGACCAATACAAAATAATACTGAAAATATATCCCGAATATATATCTTTTTAATAAATACTACTTAAAAAGTAGAGAAAATATAATATATTTTTTTTAACTGAAATTTCATGAGAGATTACATAGAAAATTTAAGTGCAATTTAGTAAGAGATTAAAAAGAAAGAAGAAGAAATATATTATTATAATACAATTATGAAGACTATCTAGTCTTCATAAATAAAATCTAAAGAGAAATGTCATTGCTGATAAACTTGGTAAATTAGGACTCTACAAGCATTATTCTGACGTAATGACTATGGATTATAGAAATTTGCTACCCAGAGTTAAAAATAAAATTTGGGATGATTGGAATGAAGAATGGCGAGAGCTGAGTCAAGCTAAGGGAAAGCATCTTTTAAATATACTGGACAAATTGCCTCGAACACCCTGGTTTTTTAAAATTAAATTAACAAAGGTACAATATGCAGAATGAGAATTGGTCACTGCTATAGTTCTGCTCATCTGTTTCGAATTGGTATCCTTGATTCTCCAAGTTGCAGTTGTCGTAAAATTGGAAGTTTGGATCATATTTTAATGAAATGCAGTAATTATACAGATAATATAAAATTCTTATACCTAAAAATGGTTTCAGCTTTTCGGCCCCTGTATTCCCTTTTATGTTTAAATGATTATTTAAGAAAACCAAATTGTAGTGCAGTCATAATCACCTAATTTTTAAAATCTTCTAACATTAATCAAAAAAAATATTTTTCACTTTTTTTTTTTTATTTTACAGAGCTAATTAGTGTTTACATGTAATTAATGTTAGTGCTTGTTAAATAACTTGTATAAATTGAGACCAATAAATGAAAAAAAAAAAACACTATATAAAAGGTCTGCGATATAATCTTTTTCCCTGCAATTTGAAAAATAGAGCTTGGACAGACAGGAATAACAATTGATACATTAGGTGAAATTGTAAATAAACAAATTATATATTTTTAAAAACAATTTATACAATAGTTATTTTCATTTCTCTTAAAAATAAACATTATCTTTAAAAAGGTATGCGACGTTAAAATGTCGACTGGTTGAATACCATTGACTTTATGTCTAACAGCAACTGTCGAATTCGCCAGGGGCCCTATTCTCGAATGTCTATATCTAAATGTCACACGCGATATTGATGAAATATCGAATAAGAACGCAAAACCATATTCTCGAATGTCGAATTCGACATTTGTTGTTAGACATAAACCCAGACAACACACCAAATCCCAGATATATATCCACAGAATATCTTTTGTGGATATCATATATATTCACAGGATATCAGAAATATTCCGTGGATCTAATATGGATATCCAAATGTCCGTCTATATCCAGAATATAGAAGATATCCTAATGGATATTCAGCAAAATATCTAATGGGTATCTTCCAGAAAATACAAGAAATCCCAGAGATATTCACAGAATATATTTTGTGGATATTCAATACATCCAATATGGATATCCAACCAAATGTCCGTCTATATCCCAGGATATAGAAGATATTCGGATATTCAGCAACATATTTTATGAGTATCTTTAGTAGAGGTTCATAAGTAACCAATGATTATTGATTAATAAGCAGAATCAAATAACATCTAGTGGATATCCACGATAATTTGTGTTCGCGCCTAGACTGATATATTTAGTGGATGTTCATGGGATATTGAATACACCTTAAAAAAATTAATTTTAAATATCTGAACGGTACTATTAGCCACAATGGCGAGCACAATGGCGTAATTTTTTAATAATTTGCTATATAATTACTATTATTTATGGACATTTGCATGTCTATAAATTACATCTCATGGATATAAAATAGATATCAACCATGGACTGGACATTCAGTGGATATTGGGATGTTCAGTAGATATCCAAAGGATTTGGTGTGCTGTCTGGGAAGTCGAGTGGTAAGGCGATTTCTAATATTCATCAAAACCGTTCTTTTATCCATCATATCTTAAATTCAACCTAATTCTTAGATGGTTGTCACCAAATTCATCGACTCGATTGTGTTGATGCACTGATGGATCACGTGACATAACCTTAAATTATTAATTATTATTAAACAGATAAGAAAATTGGAAAAATTCGCCCAAAATTCTTAATAATATGGGCGAAAAACTCACTGGATTTTATTAACCCAATCTATAAGTGAGCTAACTTTTAAAATAAGATTGTTAGCATTAGATATAGAGCAAGCAAATGAAGGCAAGTACATATTTTTTCAATTATTGTATTACCAATACTCGTTTTTAGTTTTTATGCTTATCAAAAAAAGCTTAGATTTATTGTTTTCATTAAATAAAACCAGTGTGATAGTTAATGTTACAAAATCACAAATGTCAGTCGGGATTGCACCAGTCGGCAATTTATTGGTCACGTGATCTATCATCAATACATCATTTTGTTCAATATTAGAAAACGCATGTATTCAACCAGTCGACATTGTAATGTCGCATACCAATTTAAAGATAATGTTATGAGTGTTGTGACAGTTTATTTTTAAGAGAAATGAAAATAAGTATCGTATAAATTGTTTTTAAAAATATATGAATTGACTATTTACAATTTCACCTAATTTATTAATCATTAGTCTGTCCAATAGATTTAATCTCTGTCATTAAGAAATTTATTTAGATCTATTTTTTCATTTTGCAGGTAAAAAGATTATATCACAGACCTTTTATATAGTGTTTAGATTATATTAATTGTCCTGTTCTTTCTATTTAATCCATTACCAAATTGCATGTTGAATTTTTTTAATCCCTTATAAAATTTCAGTTAAAAAAATTATAATATTCTCTCTATTTTCTAATTAGTATTTATCAAAAAGATATATTTGGGATATATTTGCAGTATTACTTTGTTTTACTAAGAGATCCTTCAAGTAGTTGTTTGCTGTAATATACTCGTTTTGTATGTTTCTATCCAATGTTACCATTCGCCAAGTATATCGCCGATTTTAAAATGTCGATTTTCCTTTCAGTATACGGATAGTGTCAGTCGATCGATATTTTGATAGACATTAGTAGTAGACATTATGACGAATGCGACATTTTTAATAGATATTAGAGAATAGGGCCCCCTGGAAACTAATTTTAAAGTATTGCATATGTCCTGAGGAGGCTAGTAGAATCGCAATCGACACGGAGTAATAAATCAAAATTTTATGGGAGTTTTACAACACAGGCGGCTCAAACAAAATCTGTGATTTTAAACATCCGGCAGTTATAAGGTGTGGTGATTTTAAGAATTTTACCTGTGCCGCCCGGTTTTGTGGAACGTAACAATGGGCTACCCTTATTTTAATCCCTTTTATGACTGATGAGCGCACGGTTGTGTAAATTAGGGAGTATTTGTTTGTATTATTTTTTTTTGTTACTGTTTTAAACTTAATTAATTGTAATTTAACCGCCGGGATGCTTGTTTTAGGTGAGTCCCCACGCCACTCACCCGTGGTGTGAGTATAAGATGGTGTGCTCGCCAGCGGGTTGAAATTCAGATCTGGCGCGCACCTACGTCACCAACGAGGCGATTGTAGCGAACTGATCTGAAATATTCCCGTTATGCCATTCATTTGTATGTGTTTCTGTTACGAGTTAGGTAAATGTATATTGCGTTTTGTGTTTTTATTTTATTTTAGTGAATGTATATTGTGTTTTTATTTTATTTTACCATTTCAGAAAGGCATTTTACTAAGTAATAATTCATTGACTGGACTTTATCACTATTTACACAATAAATATGACCTAAAGTATATTCTCACTTATATTATAGACCAAACCAAGATGTTCTTGAATTTTTTTTTTTTTTTTTCATGTATTTACTTGCCATTACTGAAGACAGTCTCGAAACGTGCCTACTCGAGCCGTGGCAAAAAAAGATGACATTGCAGACAATACTCTGACTCTGAAATCTGTTTAACCCAACAGTTGTTTAAAAAAATTCTTTCAGAAGGCGATTTTGTCGAAACATCGAATCTTTTTAGTGAAGAAATGTTTTCTGACCATACTTTCCAGAGTCCAGATTATGGAACAGACAATTTTTTTCTGAAGATCATTACAATCTTTTAAGGCAGTTAGAAAAAACAGAATGCAGGACACCATCTTTAAAGAAGGTCTAAAATTTATTGCTGGATATGTAGCTTATAGATTTAAAAGTGGATATTTAAATTTAAAGTTGGTTACACCGACAAAATTTTGCCAAACATCCCATGCCCCCGATTGGATCGAGTTTATATCTAGAGGCAACGTTATATATCCAACTGAAGAAATGTTGGAACAGATTGAGACATTTGAATAAAAAAGTGAGCTTTGAAAATTGTAGGCGAAAACTACCAAAAAAATGTCAAAATTTACAAATAATTAATAAGTTAGTTCTGTTATTAGTTTTTATTTATAATATTGTATTTTTTGTTTATTATGTTTGTTTATGTACTTGTATTTTGAAAAACCCACAACCCTAGCAAGTTTCGTGCAATTTCTTCTTGCTAGGTGTAGTCGAAATTGCGGATTATTCACATTAAATCATGTTAAGTATCATTTTCTTTTCTTTTTCGGACTGGGGTGACCATATAAGTACAGCATTTTGCTGTATTGTACATACAAGTTTACAAAGTCTATTCAGCATTTGATCTTGTACAGCTAATCGATGTATTTGTCCAGGAGAAACGCCATTATTGTCCAGCAATGTCTTACATAATTTATTGAAACAAATAAGACAAAAACGTAATATATGACTCTCTCCATCTCTCTGTACATACCATGACTTTGAAAAACGACAACGACTGCGGCATATCTTTTTTATTTTTTAAACTTTAACGCTTAAGCAGCTTTTGATTCCACATTCCCATTTTAATATAATAATTGTTTATATTATTATATTACAATAAAATTTGACTATTGTCGTCTAACTATATAATTGGATTTTTCCCTCTGATACATCTTAATTTTATACATTTTGAGGGACATTTTTTGTATACAGATAGTTTTCCTTACATTTACACTCCATAACATTTTCCTAGTGCCTAAATGATTTTACAATATTTACTTTATGTTGTCTAGTTTTGTATTTAAATATGTAAAGAACAGTTGACTTAATTGAAAACTCTATCTGATCAAGCCACATACTTTGATTTTCTTTTACTATACGGAGAATGGTCGCACTGCGCAGCTTTCTGAGTGCCTTTTAAAAGGAGATAGAAAACTCCGCCATTTTGAACCTTTATTACGTGTTGCCTACATCTTGGCGAAATATTTTTAATAGGTGCGTTTTAATCATCCGCTTTGCTTCGGAATTGTCAGTTTTTTTGTTTTAATCTGACAGGTTAAAACGACTAAACCGACAATTCCGGAAGCAGAAGCGGATGATTAAAACGCACCTGATATTTTGCTTGCTGCTGTCAGTATCAGTGAATATTATTTTTGAAGTCACAGTTTATTGCTAAAGAATCAGTTAGCTCACTCGGACCAGTTGAAAGTTCCAAAATAACATCCACTCCAGGGATACAAATTCAGGATACGCAGAAGACTGCTGATTTATTATAGGCGGTTGTCATATATTGTATTATCCGAGTTGCGCAGTGTATAAACTGAAACATTGAGATCCAAAGTGCCGACGCAGAGTGAGCGATCTGATTCTTTAGCTGTAAACTGTGTCACAGGGTTCAAAATGGCCGCTCCCTATGTTGGGCGTGTCGGACCTCTCTCTAGCCTCGTATAGTAATCAAAGTATGTGGATCAAGCCAGTAGCATGTCTAATAGTAAGGTTTTATGTAAAAAAATTTTTAAAAATATTAACAAAAGCGATAATAGGAATAAACTGTGATTTTCTTGTACCAGTGCATCTAATTTCGACAGAAATACTCGTTGCTGACGTCACAGTCCGGCGGCTAACAGCGCGCGAGCACCATCCTATATTCACACCACGCACTCAGCCCTGAAAACAATTTTTTTTTTTTTGGTTGGCTATGGCCAATTTCTTGTTTTTTTTTTGGTTTTTTTTTTGTGGTAACATATATCAAGAACTTGGTAAATTCAATATTTTCACCACTTTTTTGACATGCTCCGGTTTTACTTGCGTTTTTGCAGTCTTACACGCTTTTGAGCTTTTTTGGTGGTTTAATTTCTGGTAGCTTTAATTAGGTGGTCCCAACGCCGCACCGCCAGACCCAACTCCTTTTTTACGTACATGATTATAACATTTAGATATAAAATAGATATACTCTCGAAGATCAGGAAACGTGAAAATCTCTGAATCACTATATTCACTTGATGAGTCATTATTTATTGATATTATTAAAGGTATAGTATCGACATCCAAGATTTTGTCCAGATTCCACATGTTTTCTTCTTCTTATAACACATGATCGATTGCCTTTTGCCAATTTTCCTTCGTAACAAGTGATATGGAGGTTTCTAACAATGCTTCTACATCTTTTAACTTAAATATCGTATTATGTCGACCTACATATCCTTTAACTTGTGCCCATATCAGTTCCATCAATACCATGTGTTTTTGCAAGTTCAACCACTACATAATGTACTGGAGGCTTATTTAATTTCACAATTTCTAGTAGTTCTATTTTTATTGATTTTTCTGGAAAGTTAATGTTTCTGTCTGTTAGCCACTTAATGATATCATCTTTCTTCCATGAAGTATTTGGCACACGTCCAATTAGATGGGAATAGTAACTAGCGTTATCCATTACTATAAATGAACCCTTTTGTAAATGCTCTATCATCTGCTGAAAATATTCTTCAAAAACATCAGCGTTCATATCTTCATCAGGACCGACGAGAGGGGGGTAGCCGGAACTAATTCTCGGGGCCCGGACTTAAATGGGGGCCTGGCAGCGCTGTAAGGGGAACCCGACAACAGGTTTTTTTGTTCTGCATGAGAAATTCGACACAAGATGAGAGAGGGAAGTTAAGCTTTAATTAAAATTAAATACAAGTAGAGGAAAAGTTGTAGTCTAGAGAAGTTTTTTTCGGGTGAGGACTTTTTAGAAAAAGAAGTAAAAAAATAGGGAGAATAGTTTTTTGATGTGAGGACCTTTTTTCTTAGAAGAAGAAGTAATGAAAGTAGGGAGAATAGTTTTTTGATGTGTTTTTTTTTTTTTGATTTAGATTTCAGTAGAACAGGAACAGTTTTTGATTAAAGATTTTTTTGTCACGGTGCCCGATCTAGAGAATTGTCCTGGGGACCGGCCTGGCTCTCGGCGGCCCTTAGATTGAAATATTAAAGAACCACGTTTTGAAAACCCGTCATCACTTCCAATATGAGTTATAATTAGACGTCGTCCTTTACCGGACGGAACCTTCAATCCTATAGATAAATCCTTCCAAAAAAGCCTGTCGTGAAGATTGAATGTTTGTGTTCCATCACATTTTGCTAACTGTGTAACCTTCATTCACCCAGGTTTCGTCCAAATAAAATATTTTTTGCCTTCTGCACGTAATTTAAAAATGGTTCTGAGGTATCTTCGTCTACAACAAACAATTTCCTCAGAATCAATAAGTGCTGCTTTCCTGTCCTGTTATCACTCTTGAACTTCAAAGAGTTTCCCATTTTAGGAAAATATGGATCACTATTGATTGTGTCCAAAACCTTGGCAAGTGTTAGTATATCTTTTTTAAAATAAAATTCGTGAACTTTTCTTCTTATTCCGCTTTTAATTTGATCAGTAAATTCCACTTTTTTCTTACCTCCTGCATTTTTCTTTGGGGGTTTAACAACTCCACTTTTTAATTCACTTATAACTTTATATATCGTTGATTTGCTTACACCCATCATATTACTTGTCTTTTCAAGAGTATCGTCAACAGAAAACGAAAGATTTTCCATTCTTGTGCAATTATAAACATTGCTTACAAATATTTTCTCGTTAACTGACAACGCATACTTTTTTATACGTTTCACAAGTGTAAACTCTGAACTTGAACCACACTGCATTTTTCAATATTACTGTTACTATTAACCGAAAATAACCACAACTTCTTACTATAATAGATACTATATAGAAGACTAATCAAACAGGGTAGGTAATATTGGGAACCAAATCCTAGGTAGGTAACCATCTTATAATCCTACCCCCTTGTTATGATTTTGGTTTTTCCATGGCATTAGCAATCTCCAAGAAGATGATAAAATAATGATTATAGATTTATATAGTCTAAAGATTTATCCCATTTACATTTTTAATACAATTATAGTCATATTTATAGATTTTGAACCCTTAGATTACTTTCTATAATTTAAGCTGAAACCTTTCTCTTCAATTGTCATTAACTTTCACCTTGACATCAAAAATTTCAAAGAAGTCAACGATGAATAACGATTTAAACAATTTAATGTATTCAAATTTATAGATCTTGAAAATATTTATTATATACCTTGTTAATTTAGTCAAACAGATACTCTACCATTTACATAACAATTGCAAATAACTCAAAAAACATTTTGTAAAGGGTAATATACCAAGACCTTGATAATAGTCAGCTATTTTTGTTGAATCTAAATTTCGAGAATTTAATACCGATTTGATGAGACATAATTTTAGGCATTAATAATTTGATTAGATCCCGAGGGCTTTAGATCGAGAGCTTTTATTAATTGATTATTAATGCCAAAATTATGTAGAATCAAATTCTAAAATGTTCAAGAAATTTAGAAACAAAAAAATAACAGAATATTAATAAAGTCCGTGTTATATTTGGGACCACTATTTCACTAGACTAAATATCGACTAGAGAAATAGTCGCTGATATTTGGTCTAGAGAGATAGTCAAAAAAAATATATTTTTAAATGATGATTGTATGTACCCCGTAAATAATAATATAGGCACCTACACCTGAAATTTCCTGATCTGACAGATATATTACTCCGTATCGATTGTGATTCTACTATAGTGTCTGTGACCGTGGAGAAAGTACAGTCTGAATGAAAATTCGATACAAGTATTTATAGAATATACTATTTCAACACTAGCTCGTCTTATTTCCTTTTTAATCAGAATACTGGAAATAATGAATATTAGGTAATATTCACATGGTTATTCCATTTTACACCTTCTTTCGAAACTTTGTATACAATTCAGATTGTGGGAGATGTTAATGCCATTTTCAACACATTGTTGACCACCTAGGTATCTATGATCTTGTATAATGCAAATATGCAAAGTATAATACATTTTATAGTAAATTATAATAGGTACATAAGGGAACATTTTTAATAACATCATTCTACGGTTTTGCGAAAAGAACTATAGTCTACACCATCAGCAATAATTGTAATCAAGTCATTACAAAATTTGATCAGCCATTTGTATTGACTTGAGTCAGGTAGATACTTAAAACTAGGAACTTTAAAATTGATAAGTGCTCAAAAGTGCTGTATTGTATGTAGTAACAGATTCATTTGTTGTGATCTGTATTTGGTTGTTGTAGAATGTAGAAGAAGACTATAATTTAATTATTAATAATAATAGTGAAAAAAATATAGTATTTCCAAGTCTTCCATGTTAAAATGTTTTAGTACAAATACATTTTTATGTTTTTAAATGATTTTATTTATAAACCTGTCCTCCGTTTTAAAAGACCATGGCGTAAATGAAAGGTTAGCTCACTCGGACCAGTTGAAAGTTCCAAAATAACATCCACTCCAGGGATACAAATTCAGGATACGCAGAAGACTGCTGTTTTATTATAGGCGGTTGTCATATATTGTATTATCCGAGTTGCGCAGTGTATAAACTGGAACATTGAGATCAAAAGTGCCGACGCAGAGTGAGCGATCTGATTCTTTAGCTATAAACTGTGGCATAGGAATCAAAATGGCCGCGCCCTATGTTGGGCGTGTCGGACTAACATACTTTGATTTTCTTTTTGTCGGACCTCTCTCTTGCACCGTATAGTAATCAAAGTATGTGATCGTGGGTATGCAAAGGATTATAAGTAAAAAATTTAGAAGCTGAATAAATATATGTCTTATAAGTCGACTTATACTGATTTTCCCACCAAAAAAAGGTATTTTTGTAATTTATGTTTTGAAATCCAAGTTCACTAGCAACCCTAATAGAAAGAATTGACTTAACCCACGTTTTACACTAAGTAGGTACAGATGGCTGAAACTAATTTACCCAAAATTTTACTTTTGCCCACACACCAATTTTTCATTGATAGACTTTCTTAAGAACGACTAACATTTAAGAATTTTTAAATCTTTAAAGAAAAAAAAAAATAAATTCGAAATCTATGAGCACCTTGTTTTCAGAGTCAACATGGAACAATTTTTATTATCTACCTAATGATTTAGGATCATGTCATGTTAATTGATGCACCTGTCCATCAACACAAAGAACAAGGATTTGGTGACAACCTTTTGCCATTTTATTCGAATTTAGAATCCGATGTGATCTTTTAAAACCTTTAATGGCCGGTTTCCGGTACATTTCGTTATTGAAAGGATAATTATCGGTCCGATAAAGTTATGTCCAACAAATAATAAAGCATTTCTGAGAACTTACCTAGGTTTGACATATTCTCACTAGATGGACTTTGACAATTTAACGTCGTGTTGTCATCCTATATAAATCGTTACCCTATCATAGATATATATGTACCCTATGCGCTAGTTCAGTGATGATGTAATTATGGTTCCACTGACAATTAAAGTGACAGTAGATTTTTTGATATAATATATTCCTAAAGTAAGTAGATAACATCCATCAAATATACAATCGTTTAGTTACCAATTACATACCTTTAAACTATTTTTTATGACCTGTAAACAATATTTAGAAATAAACTAAAAATAGTAAAAACATATATATCAAATTTATTGATGTTTTTGTTAAAAGTTTGGTTAGAATTAAATGTCAGTGGAACCAAAATGACATCACACCGAACTAGCGTATTAGCAAACCTCGTAACTCTTAGAGTAGGTATACAGATAGCTGTATACAGATGTTTTTAGACCTCCAGTTTTCGACGGATTTTTACGTTTTTGAGTCCCCTGAATCCGTTTTGACTATTTTCGGGATGATGTCTGTGTGTGTGTGTTTGTGTGCGTGTGCGTTTTTAGTAAATCTAAAACGGTACCTAAATTCGTTGTCACTATGTTCGTCAAAAAGATAATTTCTATTTCTTCATAGAAAGAATCCGAGGAGCTTAAATAATATGTTTTAAGTTTATTTATTTTTTCCTGATATTTGAGAAACAATAATTATAACATTTTATATTTATAAGAAATTTCAAATTATGATGTGTTAGATACTTATCGAATAGGTATATATCTCAACAATATGGCAAGATATTGTTATGTGAGCCATTTCATTATTCAGTCATGCTCTAACCCTCCAAGTCCCTCTCTGTCTTATTTGGCCTTTGAGGCTCAACTTGTCCGATTATTATACATAATTAAACCCCTTAAGATCAAACCTATGTGACGACTATGGCGGAGGTACTTTCGCGAACATTCCAGAGTCAACGGAATACTATTTCTAGTCTATTCCAAATATAACGTGATAGTGTTTCTAATTTTTGGCTAGAACGTTCTGGAACCTTCACCATTATTTTAAATTGGTATATAAATATTGGCGGAGAATAACGCTGTATCAGTTATTATATGGACAGTGAATATAAATAGTGAACAGTTTAGAGACATTCGAAATATATATAAATTAGAATAATAGTGTTATAAATAAATAAGTGTTTAAATAAATTATTAATAAATAAACGGTTGTTTAAAATAAACAAACATCACAATATCTTTTCGAT